GACTGCCATTGAATGAATGAAACAAGAGTTCACTCACTGATTTTACTGTCTAAAGAAAAAAATTTTTCTCTTTTCTTTTGTCTACTTATTAGATGGTTTCAGGTAGAAAACTATCGATGCCTGAACTCCTATTGTGTAATTATCGGACTCCTCCAGGTAACTTTTGGACATTTAAATAGCAATGTTTTAAGTAAGATATATGCCTCATACAATTCTATATGTAAAATTATCAGACTGTTTTCGGCCCTAACGGGCCTCAAACAGTCTGATAATTTTACATATAGAACAGTATTTGGCATATATCCATTACATATATACATGCTTCTTATTATCAATTCATTTCTCATGACCTTGACCCAATGTCTTTCGGATATGATTAAAGTTTTTTTTTTTTTGGTTTGTTCGATCTCTGTGTATGAAAGGTCATATATAACTCAGAAAGATTTTAGACAGTTACGGTTTTCTCCTGAAAGAAATAAAATCGGTCATTGTAAAAATTAACTGTGTCCCCATTATAACTGGATCGCTATAGAGGTATTGTGTTTCAGGAATATATGAAATTTTGTCCTGTATGTTTGTATATACTGAGAGACACAATATATTGCATTAAGAATTGAGTCTATAATATAAATACTAGTATATCCGCAGTGTTATAGAAACACAGATGTTCCAGTATGGCAGCTCAAGGCCAAGGATAAAGTTTTTTTTCAAATGTTGGTTAAACTCCAATGTCAAGAGCTAGCTCAAAATGGTGATATCCAATGAAAGGCCTTGTCGCAAGGAATACACGTAAGCACAGGTACATGTAATATTAGGCCTTTCAACTAATTTTTTCAAGTTGCACATATGGAAAAACCATTTGATTAATAGATTTTAAGGTGCATGAAATTCTCAATTTAAAGTGTATTCTATACATACATTTAATATAACTCGTTAAAAAATTTAATCATTTTTAATTGATTTGTGTGATGTTGAGGTTTAAGAACAGGTAACTGAAGTGTGAAAAACGTCATCACCAAATTACCGATTTATGAATTATGGTTTATAGGAATGGCATATAGGCTGCTTCATTTTGTACTGTTAAATGTACATGTATGTAGGCCTTTCAACTAATTTTTTCAAGTTATACATATGGTAAAAAACATTTGATAGATTTTTTTGTAGGTACATGAAATTCTTAAAAAAGATTATAACCTATACATACCTTTGATTAAATCATAAAAAAATTAATTATTAATATTTGATTTGTACGATGTGGTGTTTTAAGGACAGGTAACTCAAATGTAAAACATGACCAACAAAGTGCCGATTTTTGAGTTATCGTTTATAGGAATGACATATAGGCTGCTTCAGTTGGTATTGTTATGTACACAAAAGGGTTCCTTATATTCTTTGGTACACAAAAGGGTTGACCAAAACAAGGAGAATGCCTTCACTCTATATCTGGAATAACGGGATCAATGAATGGGGAACGGACTATATTCAAGATTTTTAGGTCACCTGAGTCACTCAGGTGACCTATTGCTATCTGTTTTTGTCCGTCGTCGTGCGTCGTGCTTCGTGCGTTAACTTTTGAACATTTTTAACTTCTTCTCTAGAACCGCTCAACCAATTTCAACCAAATTTGGTATATAGCATCTATGGGTGAAGGGGAACAAAAATTGTGAATTTCATGGTCCCTGCCCCCCCGGGGCCTGAGGGGTGGGGCTAAAACCACCAAAAATAATGCAATCTTTAAAAATCTTCTTCTTTACTCCCGGACATGAAGCAGTCAAACTGTTGGCATCATTGTAATAAGCATTGAGCCCTCTACGAAAATTGTGAAATTCATGGCCCCAGGGTCAGGGGTTCTGGCCCCAGGGTGGGGCTATATAGATCATATAGTGAAAGTGCATAAATTCTTTGAAAATCTTCTTCTCTGCTCCTGGGTATCAAATAAAGTTACTAAGTACATAGTTATGATGAGCAAGAGTGCCTCTTCCAAAATTGTGAAATTCATGGTCCCAGGGTCAGGGGTTCTGGTGTTAGGGCGGGGCTGTATTGATTATATAGTGAAAATGCATTAATTCTTTGAAAATCTTCTTCTCTGCTCCTGGGTATTAAATAAAGGAACTAAGTACATAGTTATGATGAGCAAGAGTGCCTCTTCCAAAATTGTGAAATTCATGGCCCCAGGGTCAGGGGTTCTGGTGTTAGGGCGGGGCTGTATTGATTATATAGTGAAAATGCATTAATTCTTTGAAAATCTTCTTCTCTGCTCCTGGGTATTAAATAAAGGAACTAAGTACATAGTTATGATGAGCAAGAGTGCCTCTTCCAAAATTGTGAAATTCATGGTCCCAGGGTCAGGGGTTCTGGTGTTAGGGCGGGGCTGTATTGATTATATAGTGAAAATGCATTAATTCTTTGAAAATCTTCTTCTCTGCTCCTGGGTATTAAATAAAGGAACTAAGTACATAGTTATGATGAGCAAGAGTGCCTCTTCCAAAATTGTGAAATTCATGGTCCCAGGGTCAGGGGTTCTGGTGTTAGGGCGGGGCTGTATTGATTATATAGTGAAAATGCATTAATTCTTTGAAAATCTTCTTCTCTGCTCCTGGGTATTAAATAAAGGAACTAAGTACATAGTTAAGATGAGCAAGAGTGCCTCTTCCAAAATTGTGAAATTCATGGCCCCAGGGTCAGGGGTTCTGGTGTTAGGGCGGGGCTCTATAAATTATATAGTGAAAATGCATTAATTCTTTGAAAATCTTCTTCTTTGCTCCTGGGTATTTAATAAAGTAACTAAGTACGTAGTTATGATGAGGAGGTGGGCCTCTTCCAGAATTGTGAAAGCCATGGCCCCTGGGTCAGGGGTTCTGGTGTTAGGGCGGGGCTCTATTGATTATATAGTGAAAATGCTTTAATTTTTTGAAAATCTTCTTCTCTGCTCCTGGGTATTATTTAAACAAACTAAGTGCATGGTTATGATGCATAAGGATGCCTTTTCAAAAATTTTGAATTTCATGGCCCCAGGGTCAGGGGTTCTGGTGTTAGGGTGGGGCTGTATTGATTATATAGTGAAAATGCATTGATTCGGTGAAAATCTTCTTCTCTGCTACTGGAGACTATTTAAATGCATAGGGATGCCTTTTCAAAAATTGTGAATTTCATGGCCCCAGGGTCAGGGGTTCTGGTGTTAGGGCGGGGCTCTATTGATTATATAGTGAAAATGCATTGATTCTTTGAAAAACTTCTTCTCTGCTACTTGAGATTATTTAAACAAACTAAGTGCATGATTATGATAGACAAGGATGCCTCTTCCAAAATTTTTAAATATATGGCCTCAGTTTTGGGGGTTCTTGAGGAGGGGAGGGGGGGGGGGAGGGGCTAGGGCAACAATGCTTCATCTATCAGTGTATTTAACTTCTAAATTGTTGTATTATACTCAGGTGACCGTTAAGGCCCTTGGGCCTCTTGTTAACTCTCCCTAACAGTTGTTATGAAGAAGAAAATATAATGCCATGTTTTTTGTTTGTGCATTGTTGTGCTTCATCTATAAAGATAAATATTTCTACAATTAAATACAACAATAAATTATTTTATTCTTTTCACTAAGCACGAAGAAGAACGATCAAGTATAAAAATTTATCAGATCAAAATTAAGAAGGGGGATGGAATTCACTTTATATTTTTATTAAAAATTTCACTTATATATTATTATACAGTGTCTATAACTACATGATAATTGAGTTGAACATTTAAACTAAATTTTAAAACCACTGGATTAATTTCCCTGTCAGTGAAGGAACACTTGGGAAATGCTAAAACTTGACATCCTTAAAAACAATTAGCTTCCTCGGACCCGCTCTAAACAAGTTCCGGTAATGGGTTATCGTTCTTTTCATCGAACCCTAGCGGCAGTTGAAAGGCCTAATGTATGTACACAGGGTTCTTTTGGACACAAAAGGGTTGACCAAAACAAGGAGAATACTCTACCTGGAATAACGGGATTAAAATGAATGGGAAACTGACTATATTCAAGATTTATAACTCTCTCTGACAGGTGCTCTGAGGAAGAAAATATAATGTCATGTGTTATGGGTGCATTGATGTGCTTCTTGTATCAAGATATATATTTCTACAATAAAATGCAATGATTATGCAATGTTATCTACAAATAGCATTTATTCTTGTTAAAACTTTTTTTGACTTAAGAGAGATCTCCTGATGTTTTTAGACGATTTTTATTTCGTAATTACGAAATTTTATTTCTCTCAATTTTTAGATTTCTCATACCATGTCCTATACAAGCCACCGTACACACTGCGGAGCTTAAGTTGCTTTTTGAATTGTTTATCAAGATTGATAAATTAAACAATTAACTTTATTAAAATTCCCAATTTAAAGAAGAATTACGTAAAGTCATTATACAGCTATTTGCACACGGTTATACAAAGATCTAACGTATTTCTTCTAAAAATGTCGGACTCTCTCTCTCTCTCTCTCTGTAGAATAATTAGTGTCATTATGCCCTCTAGATATGATGTTCGGGATGATTACATTCCTCTTCTATTTAAGTTCACAAACCAGCATTGATCAATTTGTCCGTAAGATAAAAGTACCTTAAAAGCTTTACAAACTTTCTAAAGGACGTGCGAGCGACTGTTAACGCTTTTCAAAACACCCCAAGACTTTTTATTCTGTTTGTATAAATGATTGTTGATAGATCAACGAAACTAGATTTACTGGTGAATCGTCTTTGGAGGTCCGTTGTGCTAAATAATTGTATTAATAGTGATTAACAATAATCTTAAGTGTGATTAAACTTCCGGGCGGATATGTTTGCTAAAATCCTTAGGAACCGTTTACTAAATGCTTTATTATGTGCATAGTTCATTAAGGTTTTAAATAGCGGAAATTTTTATTCTGAACACACTGTGGACAGAAGATTGTGAAGTCAACAAAGCTGTGAAAAAATATATTTGTTATTTTGAGGACTAAAATTAAGTGCTGTGGTTTGGAATTTGTCTTTTAATTAAAACCCTCAGCCGCAATGAATTTTAACAAGAATGTTGGACTCATCATCAATATTTTTATCATTATGACACCTGCCATGACATATGGGTATGAATTAACAGTCCTTCACACAAATGATGTTCACGCTAGAATACAGGAGATGAACGCTTTCGGTGGACAGTGTTCCTCTGGAAGTTCAAATTGCTTTGGCGGAGTGGCCAGAATAAAGACAAAAGTCGAGGAGCTCCGAAGGGGGCATCGGAATACTCTCCTGCTGGACGCTGGGGACCAGTACCAGGGGACCCTCTGGTTCTCTCATTATGGAGGATACGTTACGCACACTATGATGAATCTCATCGGTTACGATGCCATGGTATTTATATTTTTTCATTCAATCTAAAATTTAGGAATTAGGAATGAATGTGGGTTTTAGTGGTGGACCGTTGGGTAGATTTCCATCAAAGTAATTTTTGCAATTGTATAAAAAAAACATGAATAGTCGCTGTAGAACTATTTGGAGCCCCCCCCCCCCCAATGCACACAGTAATGTTGACGATATTCTCCGAATATTTAGTGGAATTTTGTAATATCTCCCATTTATAAGAATTTTTTTCCTCCCCAAAATCTGGAAAAGATATCGGATTTTATTAAGATACATCACACTTACATTATATTTATCTTAACATGTGATACAGGCTATAACACACAGAGCGTTCGTTACGGAAGTAACGCAGATTATACACGGTATTATATACAAAGTACTATAATGCACGTTCACACACAATATCCGTATTAACTATAATACAATACCTCTGTGTTAAGATAAAAGAGAACAAAATCAAAATATTTTCTTCCTGACATTCAGTATATTTTAAATAGAAATGTACAATATGTATACGTGCATGTTACGCGTACATGCTACTTTTTACATGTGTATATGGTAAAATAAATCAGGAAGCACAATAAATTAATGAGACTTTAATTTTGTAAAGATGTTCCTTTTATTGGTAACCTGGAGACAAAACTGTGACACTGTCAGCTTAAACTAGATTTACCCCCCCCCCCCTCTCTCAAAATTTACATTTTTACATCATAGCAACAAATGCATGTTTATTGTAATTACATTATAATTAGTGTGCTTCTATTATATACAAATTATTATGCTACCCCCTTTCCTGTGTGTAGTGTACTTAAAGTGAATTTTAAAAATAATTTATTTTTTCTTTATCCCAAAGACTCGGATGAAACGGAGTATATGTGAATGAACAAAACGAAATTTATTTCGAAATGAAATTATTTTGTCGAGTACACGCGAACGTGCCTTACAGATTACAAGCAAAAAAAAAAAAATTAATGGGTCATTGTAAACTCGATACATGAAAGGTTCTTTTTATCTTGAAAGATATAGCTATAGCTTACAAATTTCTTAAAGATAAACTTGTAAAAGTTTTCAATCCTGTCAAAAACTTCTACCAGTAAAAGGTCATCTGAGGTTGGAATGCAGTGCTAGAAAGCTCAATCTCTGCTCTGAGAAAGAAAATCACATGACCTGTGTCAATTGAGATTAAGTTATATCTGATTCCCACATCACATGAATGACATATAGCATATTGTTCAATGTTTACAGTGAAGTGTGTATATATAACTTCTTCTTGCAGAATAAAATACTGAATAAAATAAACTCCGTTAAAATAAATACTGTGAATGCCTTCACTGCGGGTGTTTGATAAAAAAGGAATATACTAAAAGGTTCTTTAGAACTCAGTCGATTTAAAAAAAATGTTTTTTACGTATTTTTGAAGCGAACTTAACGGTTCATGTATATCGAAACACAAGAACGACTTTTAGAAATATTTATATATTGGGTTGGGGGTATATACATAAACTTTGAAATATTATTACTAAGCCACATTTCTCCAATAACTACACAGAAATTCATACAGGAAAAAAAACCTTTGTTTAAGCATATCGAACTAAATTTAATAATCATTGTGTATATAATTTTGTGCAGACTCAAATTAAACACCAACCGCGTAATGTAGTTCTCCATTATATGGTTAATACTGCTTCCGTCCTATCTTTTAATGAAATGCATAATAATTATCAAATACCTATTATTAAAGATTAATACTAGTACCTTGCCTAAAGTGAAAAGTTCTAGTTCAATTTATTCTCTCACTCTCAAACCACTTAATTATGCATTTTTCTGTTACAATACTTTTATGCAGATATTTTCCCCGACATTCTGGGAAACAAATGACATTCTAGAATGTAATGACACTCGGCTGCATTTTGTCCCTTATTAGATGCATACTGAATATATGGCATATTCTCTCTCTTTTTTTTTTTTTTTTTTTTTTTGAAATTCCACGCCATCACCCAGACTCAACTGGAAGACGATGATTTGTTGTTCTATTAAAAGGAAATGGGCGAACAAGGCGTGCAGAATGCCTAGATAGCTTCAGATATATACATGTGAAAATCATATACAATTTGTAAATTTAGTATTCAGAGTAAAGTTCTTTTATTGACATTAATGAAATTATGACAAATAAAACTTTTCTGCGGAAAAATTTCTTGGCGAAAAATTATTCTATAATTAAAAATATAAATAAATATTGTATTCTCGGAGATTCGAACCCTAGCACTAAAAATTCAGAGAATCATTTGTCCTTGAAATTAACAAGCTTTGTTACAACGCGAAATGTAATAACAACGCAAAATGTAATAAACCGGGATTATTGCATTTTGCGTTATTACATTTTGCGTCGATATCAACGCAAAATGTGTAATAACGCAAAATGTAAAAACAAACTTTTTAGAATTATTATATTTTGCGTCATTACATTTTGCGTCGAGATCAACGCAAAATGTAACAACGCAGGATGTAATAACACGATTTTTGGATTATTACATTTTGCGTTATTACATTTTGCGTCGAGATTAAGCAAAATGCAACAACGCAAAATGTAATAACACACTTTTAAGTCAATCAGGTTGAGAATAATTTTCAATTGAGTAGTGGATGAAGAAAATAAATGGAAAAAATAAACAAAAGAAAAAATAAACATATGCTAATTCTTTCATTAGATCTGATTTTATTACATTTGTATATATTGATTTCATTAGCCATTTAAAATTAGTTGATATCCAAATCATAGATATTACAAATTAGAAACGCGCATGTTCACGTACATGTATGTGTGTGTGTGTGTGGGGGGGGGGGGTGTATTTCGTTTATCAGTGTATCAGTTTGCTTTTGCTTTTTGATACATGCCTGAAATTTAGAAAAGAAATATATTTATTTTTACTGGCAGTGTAAAGATAGCGGGAAGGGGGTTTCTTGACAATTAAGATTTCATTCTGCATGTTTTACAAATCATGTGCGTTGCAGACCAGCAAAAATAAAATTTTCACTCTCTCTCTCTCTCTTTTCAACAATGAAATGGATATTTTCTGCATGTGCATAAAAATACAATGATCAATATACGAGTAACTCTACCCCCCCCCCCCCCCGCTTCTCCTCGCTAGACATGTATACACACACATATACACTTCTAATTTGCTAACCAATGTTCACATGCACGTCGTACATGCATATCAAGAGTTCTTAATGGACCCATGGTTAATCTTTGGTAATTAAGAATGTCGGTGATAGATATATAATACAGAATGATTTATAAATATACATGTCAATCAAAGTTAAGTTAATGTTTTATAAGTATTCAATAAAAATGTTAGAAATAGCGTCAAAAAAATTAAACAATTAGATTTAGATATATCCGTAAGAGCCGTAACGTTAAACTTTGTCTCATGGTCATAGATATGTCTGTCTATTTAGTGAAGCGCGTTTCCCCATCGTTATATGTTTCAATCAATTTTGTGATGTTTCGCGTTGAACACAATACAAAAAATAAATACTATTTTGTTTTATTACATACAGTTAAACTTCGTTATCTCGAAGTTGACGGGACCGTGCGGAAAATTATCCTGACTTCGAGATAACGCATGTAATTTTAATGAATGGGTACACAATTTTACTTCGAGATAACCGGGGTATTCGACATTACCGTGTTCGACATATAGAGGGGTTTATTTTAATCATTTATAAAGCAAATTTCGTCGGGACCGCGGCCTTACTTCGACATATCCGGGGTATTCGAGATATCTGTGTTCGAGATTTCGAAGTGTAGCTGTATTGTTTTGTTACATTTTGCGTTGTCCGCAACGAAAAAATTAAGTAACGCAAAATGTAACAACCAAAAAGTGCATTATTACATTTCGCGTTAATCCCAACGCAAAATATAATAATTCAAAAATCGTGTTATTACATTTTGCGTTATTACATTCTGCGTTGATCTCGACTCAAAATGTTATAATCCCAGTTTATTACATTTTGCATTGTTATTACATTTCGCATTGTAACAAAGCTTACCATTACGCTACATATATACCGGTCATAAGAAATATCAGCATTTAAATCAGGTTTGTGATATAACCCTTGACTAAATGGACTTCAAGTAATTTTCGGGAAGACACGAATGTTGTGTTTTAAGGTCAGACGATACGTTCCTCGAATATCTGTTATGTATATCTTCGTAATGTATGAAAAATATTCAAAATTTTAATTACCTTATAATTTCTAAACCAGTTTCTAATCATCTTTAAAAAATCCAAACACTCAAAAAATTGATATTAATTATCAAATTAATTTTTTTTCCAAAAGGATTATATAAGGAAAACTACCCTCTAGTATTTTGCACAAATGCCTGGTAAGGTACCTCAATTTTCTGTGAGTAAACATGTTAAAGGAGCAATACCTCAATGACAAAATCTTGGAAAAAATTATATATTATTTAGGAACGTATCGTCTGTCCTTAAAAGTGTAAATTAAAAGTGTTACAATGGGTCTTTGCACCATGTTTTTAAAGTAAAAAATGTATAGATACTTCGAGGATAAACCTTCAGAAAAATGGAGCGAAGACCCTCTCATATGGGAAAATTGTATATGAGAAAATGATCATTTTTGTCCTCTTTGGTGTGTATACTATTTCATAGACAAAAATTTTCAATCTTTGTGAGATTTTTTGCAAATTGTAGAGATTATACATAAAATAAGCGTTAATGTTAGATGAAATATCAACGAAATTTTTGTTGTAACTGAGATTTAATTTTTCGTCTTATTTGTCGCAACATAGACCTGTGTTAACTGTATTCGCCTTGTTCGTCTATCTTCTTTGACTAAAATTCTCCATTTTTTTTTTAAATAAGGAAATATTTTAAATATTTTTAATAAATCCCAATTCTGTTTTGTCGATACCATATTTATCGGACCTATAGAAAAATAGCTATCCCTTTGTCATTTCAGTATGTACTGATCAATGACATTGTTCAGCTATATAGTTTTTAGCCATCTACAAAATTCATAATTTTTCGTTCCATAGGTTTTAAAAAACTCACAAAGTTCAATATATTATCTTTCAAGTATTGCTTTCCCAACCAAAAGCTTTGCCGTCTTTAGCAATAACCCAAAACAGTAAACTGACATAACTTATTAGGCCGTATTATTCTTGAGTAGTTCTTGGCTCTGTAATTCTTCCTCAGTTTTTACAGACGTTAGCCCTATACCATATTAAAGACAAAACATAGGGGGAAAAAAGAACATTGCTGTTGAATATGAAAATATAGATTCATTGAAACACTTCTTATAGTGATTGTTTTAAAAAATTAAAGTGTCAGTTTCATTTATTGCAATTTTCTTAATTTGTTCGATTGGAGAATTTTTTTTAAAAATTGAAAAATATTGAAAAAAAAAATGCCCGGTTAAGTCGAACGGAAATTAGATCACCAGAAAATTATCCACCCTTGCCTTGAAAAGCATTCCAACCAATGAACTAATTGAAAATTTTCACGTCATGCATTTTCTATACCAATTAAAAAAGAAAGAAATACATAGTCCCGAAGACTGAATTATACTTCAACTCTGTACACTGGCTGATTAATAATAAAACATGAAAGCCAAGGGTTCACATGCCATTGAATTATTGTACGAAACTGCTCAAATGAATAGAATGCAGTTGCACACCCCTGTTTTTGCACGTACATTATGCATATATATGTGCCCTCCAACTTAAGAATTTGGCATTTGGGATTACTACATTGAATTAATACCACTTAGCTTATTCGAAAACACATGTAACTTAAAGAGTGTCCCTCTTGGGGTACTCTTTGTGGTCCTAGAAGACATGAAAAAGTACAAGATAACTTCAGCTTAAACGTTATGGTTTTTAAAAATGGTCCTTCTACATACTAAAGTTATAAAAATCTGGTCAATTAAGTAATTGACGTTTCTTTTTATCCGTTATCAAAAGGTGATCTATAGTAGCTTCAGTTCTCTACCCAGGTATACCCACTGGCAGTAAAACATCTTCATTTCGAAAACAAATATCAGATATAAGTCTTGTGTCTCAAAATCAAGCTGCATATAGTAAAAAAACTGACAGTCCGTTATGTATTTTTTCGATGCTTTCTACATGTCGCTTTATACATGTACCCGTCTCTACAGGTCAACGTCTGTCTGTATTACTGTCATGCAAAGTTTGATCTATACAATATGCCCCGGCAAATGCATGGGTAACAACATGGTGAGTGACTAAATACAATATCGCCCCAGTTTTAAAAATAGTTTTTTAACATATACCTGTAAATATAGTAACTCTTTCACGGTGAGTTTAGGTCAGTATTGTAGCACTAAATATTCCTTTCTCGGGTCCTTAAGAAGCAATTTCAGTTGGTGGGGGTGGGGTGAGGCAAACTAAATATTTCGGTCTGGAGGAACACTACGAAGCATTAATTGCTTAACAAGCAGAAAAAGTTCATCAGACGTTTTTACTGAGGGGACACAAACATACAGTTGCTATGTATTCTATAGTATACTATATATCGGCAAAATTATTGGGGACAGCCCCCCCCCCCTCCGTGCCCCCGGTTCCTACGGCTACGTTTCTACTTATCCCAGTGCTCCTTAGATTACTTTGCTTTAAATAATATTTATTCAGAAATCTAAATGGATTGGGTATCAGGCAGTGCTTATGAATACCCTTTCCATACAAAAAAGCTGCAGGTTTGCATCTCGCCATGCAGTCCAAATTTCACTGAGATCATTTATCCCGATATTTTCAGATCAGAACTGAAAGTTTATGAACTTTATATCTTGGATAGGCCTTGGGAAATCACGAATTTGACAACAATATTGCCGGTGTTCTACCATTGCTCCAGAACGCAAACTTCACCATTCTCAGCGCCAACATCAATTTAGAGACAGAAGCCCGGATCAAACCTTATGTATCTAAAAGCTACATCACAGAAGTGGGAGGGGAAAAGATCGGGGTTATAGGTTATACAACAAAAGACACGCCCATGATATCTCAGCCTGGTGAGTTTATTTATTTAATTAATTTAAATATTTATTTATTTATTTAATATTTATTTATTTATTTAATATTTATTTATTTATTTTTTAACAAACGAACGATTAAAAGTTAAACACAGCACAAAATTAAGTGAATGACACGAAGTACATGAAATTTTTTTTAAAATAAAACTTGTCATATGATGTTCCTTGTAATTTTTTTAAATTGTATAAAGTCTTTAAGTTTCATTTCCACCGCCATTCAGGTTCTGTGACGGTGGGTGCTTTGGAGGCCCTGCTTTGGACTGCACTCACTATTAAAGTGTTATTGTCACACTTTTTTTCCGTTCGACAATAAGACCTAATACATGGCAGTATATCCGCGATGAGTTTGACTGATAGAAACAAATTTTCTTGATGATTCCCGTTGAAAATACCCCCCCCCCCCGAATTTTCCCTATGCAGATGAGTTTAAATGCCTCCGAGTGTGTAATTTATTATTTATAATTAAGTCTTGCATAATTAAGTTATCAAATTATTATTTATAAACTGTCGAAAATTCTGTCTAAGTACTCTCAGTCCTTTGACGAAATTCCTTGTTGGTTGCTAGCTTGTCTAGTTGAATTTCAGTATCCGCAGCATAAAGTAAGCATCCAAAGATACAGCATCAATGAAAGGATGGTCCAATGTACCGCTCCCAAAATTTTAAAGTGGAACTCCGGCGACGGGGCAAAGTATAAGCTCTTTTCATTTTTGCAGAAGTGAACTAAAAACTAACATCTAATAAAACAGTGGAACAAGTATTAAAAAAAGTTATCTTGATTTTTCAAACTGATCTGTTCTCTCTCTTGATATGAAATCAATCATATTTTTAATGACGAAACTTTAAACCGACGTCAAATTGACAGCTCGTTAAAATGATTGTGTTCCGACAACAGAGTTCATGTTGTCCATTAGTTTATTAGAAAGCTCAGGTGCTTTTTCTGTTTGCTTCCATTATGTTTGGTTTTTAACAGCCATTCCTGTACAAAATGGCATACATTTTATTAAATAGCTTGTAATTAGTTCGTCGATTAATGAAAACTTGAAATAGACCAAATATATGGCTTTTATTCTGTTCACAAAAAAAAAAAAAAAAAAAAAAAAAAAAAAAAATCAAGGATGAAATTACAAATGTAGAGCAGAGCTATTATGTTAAAAAAATAACATCCCTAGAAATTTTTCATTAGTAAATGACAATTACGGCTGTGTAGAATAAGTTTAATGGCAACAAATCCATAGTATAGACGTCCATATCTTAATGGCTGCTGTTTTAATGAACTTTCAATGTAAACTAAATGTATAAGTAATCCCACTACTGTAGAAAATGAATTTCATACAGTGATAAAAATTTATATTACCTTCAGAAACCGTATTTATTAGTAGACATTTGCTCATTTAACGTTCATAAAACAAAGGATGGACGTGATGATTGTTTTTTACTGAGAAAAGCTGCCCTCAGCTATCCCAGTTACAACACATATAATACTAGTATTATTTCTCAACCTGTATTGTACTTATTTTAAGAATTAAAGCTTTAAAGCTATAGAAAACAAACAACATGGTAACATATGCTTGTAGATGTCATTATAAATAACTTTCCTTCTTTTGCCCTCCCTCCCCCCCCCCTTTTTTTTTTAAGGAAGCCTGAAATTTGAGGATGAGGTGACCTCCATCCGTGCCGAGGTCAAGAAGTTAGAAAGTCAGGGGGTCAATAAAATCATCGCTCTGGGCCATGCCGGATTTTCTGTGGACACAAAAATCGCTAACCAGGTAGAGGGCGTTGACGTCGTAGTTGGAGGACACACCAATACATTTCTATACAAAGGTGAGGGATACAGGCGCGGATCTATTGTTTTAACGAAGAAAAGATTTATGTGCTGAATGGAATCATTATTATTGTATAGATCTGTAATTATATTTGGAAGAACTTTTGTATTTCTTTAGAGTTGATTATGATTTTGTTCGTAAAAAAAACATATTTTTTGTAATTTGATTTGGGTCGTGGACATCAGCATGGGCTGGTAGAGAATCTAACTAGTGTCTTTCACTAATTAACAATTTTCTATTGCTAATGAGTACAAGTCATGTACTCATTGGCAATTGAAAATTGTTAAATAGTGAAAGACACTAGTGACGCAGGTGTCCAGGGTTCGATTTCCTGTCCAGCCAAACATTTTTCCCTTTCCAAAACTACATTATTTGGTGCCATTGACCTCCTCTGAACTTGCAGTTGTAAGTCCTGTCAGGGGCAAAAATAACAGGGTTGTGATTTAGAGGACGAAGACAATTTAAGGAGGGGGGAATGTAAAGGACGGGCATTGGATTTGGCCTTGGTAGCTCAGTGGTAGAGCACTTGACTTGTGATGCAGTGGTCCCTGATTCAATTCCCGATTCCTTCATACATTATATTGTGTCATGTTACATATTAATACTCTGTTTGAAATTTATTTATTTATGACTATAATTGTCATATACAAATTTTGAATAAAAATATCAAAATATTTGTTAAAAAACATTACCTGTCACGATAATTTTGGTCACTGTCTTTAATGTAGTTTTTGAACTTTCCGTAATAAAGGCATTCAGTCTTCAAGCATGCTGAAGATGTAAAAATCAAAAATAATTATCATGTATATGCTTGATTTGAATTGAATTTAAAGACAAATATTGGTTTTCTTTGCAATTTCCCTTCTCCTCCTGGACACTTTAATTAATGTGCCTAACTACCATTGACAAAAAGCTTATTTATTCCAGGCACAGCGCCATCTGTTGAGAAGCCCGTGGGTGAATATCCTCACGTGATTGAGAAATCGAATGGGGAGAGAACTCTGGTGGTTCAGGATTATGCATTCGGAAAGTATCTAGGTTTTTTGCAAGTCGAATTCGATAACAACGGAAAAGTGGTTTCTTTTGGCGGCAATCCAATCATTTTGAACAACTCAGTGGCAAAGGGTATTTTAAATCAACAAACGAAATTATTCAAATATTTATTGCAACAGTTTGTGTGTGAAATACACGTGCACATGTACTATGGCTCTATACATGTGTGTAAATGGCACCTACAAAATTCCAGACGACTTTCAAAAATCATAATTATTTGTAATTATTAGATATGAATTAAAACGATGTCAAATCACACGAATAAAACGTCTGAAATGCTGAAAAATTGTAGATATTCGAATATTAACACAAATAACTTAAGATGTAAAAAAAAAGTTCCTTGCATGTCTAATAAAACTTTGACTCCCCCCCCCCCCCTCCCCCGGATTGTAAAAAGGTGATCTTGTGTGTAAATAGGACTAGACCAACAGTACCCAATTTTCAATTATAGATATGGAAGCAAAATATTCTTCATCAAACAGAAATTTACAGTAAAATTCAGATTTTTTGTTATGTCTTAATTCCAGACACAAAAGTGCAGAAAATTGTAGATGATCTTTTCCTTGAAATTGAGAACGCCACAAAGAAAGTGATTGGTAGATCACTGGTTAAGATGGAGGGTAGTAGGGCGGTTTGCCGACTGAGAGAGTGTAACATGGGTAGGTATAGCGGTCAGACATTGGAGAAGTGTAATATAGTGTAGAGGGACTAGTAGAGCTGTGTGCTGACTGAGAGAGTGTAACATGGATAGGTATAGCGGTCAGATATTGGAGAAGTGTAATATAGTGTAGAGGGACTAGTAGAGCTGTGTGCCGACTGAGAGAGTGAAACATGGATAGGTATAGCGGTCAGATATTGGAGAAGTGTAATATAGTGTAGAGGGACTAGTAGAGCTGTGTGCCGACTGAGAGAGTGAAACATGGATAGGTATAGCGGTCAGATATTGGAGAAGTGTAATATAGTGTAGAGGGACTAGTAGAGCTGTGTGCCAACTGCATGAGAGAGTGAAACATGGGTAAGTATAGCGGTCAGACATTGGACATTGTAATATAGTGTAGAGGGTAGTAGGGGGTGTGAGAAAGTAGAATATGGGTAGGTATAGAGGCCAGACAATAGAGAGGAGTAATATAGTCAAGAGGGACTAGTAGAGCTACACTGAGAGAGTGTTACATGGGTCATGGGTATGTAGACGGTAAAACTGTAAACAAAACTATATTATGAATGTTAAAATGTTTCTTTTTTTATTGTTTCAGGAAATTTGGTGGCTGATTCCTTCGTGCACATGAGTCTAAGAGATGCTGACACTATCAACTCTACTCGGGTATTTATAGCCCTTGTTAACTCCGGATCCATAAGGTCGTCGTTTGAAAGAGGTAAGAATGATATTTTCAGATTTTGATATGTATATAATTAAATATTTCATTGTAATTTTGATGATTTCCATCCATCATACCAAGTAGACATACTCCTCAATGAAATGCCCAACAATTGCTTTTATTAAATATTTCTCCTTGGAAAAACCCAGGAAGGTTTTGTTTCCATTTAAGGAGTATGTATACCATATGTCGTTCCTTAGTTGTTTTGAACATGCATCTTTCTGATTATAGCTCAAGCTGGAATAATATACTTTCGTATATAATGAAAATCTATCGAGTCATATTTGATCAAAAGCAAGTGTTTGATAAGATTTTCTGTTGCACTCAAAATCTTAATAATCTGCATGAATGCTTTAAGAAAATCTTGCTTGGTCAAAGTGCAATAAAAAAAAAATATTTTGAAATATCTTATTGGAATGGTTTTCAGGATCCATAACTTTGGGAAATGCAATAGAAGTCCAGCCGTACAGAAATACGATGGACACCATACAACTTCCGGGTCGGAACTTACGTCAGGCACTAGAGTACAGTGTGACGTCATACGATGAAGAGGACCCGGATGGTGGATTTTTACAAATATCAGGTATGAACAGATTTTTAAAAAAAAATTATATTCAATTATTCAGATATACTTAGTATTCAAAAACTGTAATGACTCAAGCGTACAGAACGTTTACCGTGTTCTATTCATGTACAATAATTGTCTCAAAGGTTTTATATGATGGTAATGGCTACTAAGTAAAAAGAAGATTCTTTATAATTTTAATTAAACAGGCATAAGGGTGAAATACAACCTACAGAAACCAGAAGGTCAAAGGGTTGTAGATGTGAAAGTTCTGTGCTCGGAATGTGAAGTTCCGGAATTTGTTTCCTTAAAGGATGAAAAACTGTACGACATTGTTCTATCCAACTTCCTGTTAAATGGAGGTGACGGCTACACAATGATTAAAGACAACGCTATACAGAAACACGTTGTGGGTGAGTGCATCAATGGCTGATTATTCTTAATCAAATTAACACAGCCCCCTTTTGTAAACGTTTTTATCATTGTTAAAGTGCACCCGTGACCTTGCTTTGAACTTAAGTTCAGTCAAAACAATTTTCAATTATAGGGGAAGACCATATTTGACTCTGAGAAGGGGGGGGGGCTGGCAGATTTTTGAAACGAATCTGTTCTTGAAAATGTTGGAAATAAATAATACGTCCTCAACTGGCAAGAAAATTAATCTGTATCCTTTACTTGTGCACCCCCCCCCCCATCCTGATAGAAGTTTGGAGTTTGGCACCCCCCCCCCCTTGTTTTTTGTATGTCAGACTTTTTTTTAGTGAAGAAGAAAATAAATAATCTTTCTTTCACCGATTTCAAAATAAATAAATAAATAATCTAACTCGGAAAAATTTGCTAGCCTCCCCCCCCCCCCCGCCATCCCCCCGAATCAAATGATCGTCCTATAAAAACCTATATAAACTGTTAAGATTTCGTGCATGACATCTACTTATGTCATCTTAATCTAAATGTGTGTGTGGGGTGGGGGGTGGGGGTACAAGTTGTTAATAAGACCAATACACAATATAGTTCATAGAAATACTAGTATAAAGTAGTACTTGTCTAATCCGGATGTTGTATATTACGAAATCTTGCCTAATACGATGTAAACATGAAGTCCCTTTCAGTAATTTCAATTGTTTAAAATGTTGTCTAATCCGGAACTTTGTCTAATCCGGCCAATTTCTTTGGAACCAGTGGTGGCCGGATTAGACAAGTTTTACTCTAGTAGTAATTAAGTGTCTGCTGAAAAAAAAGTTATTGATGAACCATGAGGAGACTTAGTATCCTTTTTAAGCCGTGATAATTTAACACTCTTTCTTGTTTATTTGAAGGTATTCTGGACACAGATGTATTTGCCGAATACATAAAGCTGATGTCCCCTTTAACCACTGGTCTTGACGGGAGAATTGAAATGGTTGACGACAACGGATGTGACGATACTTCCGGCGGAAGCAGATTTATATCAAACTCTTTTCTTTTAATTGAAACTTTAATTTTAGTCTGCGCAGTTGTAACAATCTGAGAGAGAGAGAGAGAGAGAGAGAGAGAGAGAGAGAGATCTTTGTTCCTGTTTAGTTCTACTGGTCAGACACCAGAAGAGCTTATGCATTAGTAAAGTGTGCGTCGTCCGTCCCTCCTTCTGTCTGTAAATATATTTTTTTTCAAAACTAGTCCTCTTACAGGTTTTGTCTGATTTCAATAAGACTTGGTACACAAGTAGACTATACTAAGATACATAATTCTAAATATCGTTATTATTAGTCCCCTACCGGTGAAACCGGAGGGGACTATAGGTTTCCTCTGAGTCTGTCCGTCCGTCTGTCCGTCCGTCTGTCTGTCTGTCTGTCCGTCTGTCTGTCTGTCTGTCCCTCTGTCTGTCTGTCAGTCTGTCCCACTTGGTTTTCCTCACTTTTTTCCTAAACGCTTGCAGATATTGAGCTGATTTTTGGTATGTGAGTGTATCTTGATGAGTTACAGATCAAGTCTGCATTTCGTTCCGCTTCATTGATTTTTGACGGAATTACGGCCTTTTCAATTTTTACGGGTTTTCCGCAATTTTCTTCTAAACGCTTGTAGATATTGAGCTGATTTTTGGTATGTGGCTTTACCTTGATTAGTTACAGATCAAGTTTGCATTTCGTCCCGCTTCATTAATTTTTGACGGAATTATGGCATTTTCAATTCTTAACGGGAACAGAACCAGATTACACTTGCCGGTAGGGGACTAGTATTGCTAATGCAATACTCTCAGAATGCTTGTTTTATTTTGAAACAGAGTGTTGCCATGCATGGTTACTAAAACAGAATTTACTTTGAATTTCTTTCAAAACGCACAAGTAGATGGCTCTAAGATACACGATTCTAAGTGTTGGTTTTTGATTTCTTCACAGGGTGTTGCCCTGCAAATCAGAATTTCTTTGAATTTCTTCCAAAACCCTATTCTTCCTACAGGTTTGATCCGATTTCAATATGACTTGGTACAAAAGTAGACTTTACTTAGATACATGATTCTGTATATCGGTTTTTGATTTCCAAGTGGTTGTTGACATGGTTAATAAAATAAAAATTTCTGTGAAATTCTTTCAAAACGCTACCCCGTTTACAGTTTTGTTAGGTTTCAATAAAATTTTACACACGTAGACGACTGTACTAAAGATAAATAATTCTCTGTATTACTTTTTGATTATGACAAAACGTTGGTGTCATAGTTACAAAAAAATCTGTTAATTCCTCCTCCTACAGTTTAAATTTCAATAAAATGTGGTGTGCAACTAGACTATACTTAAATAAATAATTCTATTGGTGTTTGAATTCAACACGGGTCCTCCGGATGAGACCTTGAAATCCGAGGCCCCGTGTTACGATAGGCGTTGGCACAATAAAGAACCCTCACTGCTTAATGGCCCTGAGTGCCGGGTAAGGTCTAAATTTGAAGCCCTTCATCGGTATGGTGACGTGTCTATATGAGTGAAAAATTCTCGAGCGGGACGTAAAACAACATACAATCAATCATTGATTTCAACAATTGCTGTTGCCAGGTGTTAGTTTAAATAGACATTTTTGTGAAATTCTTTCAAAACGTTACTCCTCCTACAGTTTTATTCAGATTTCCATAAGACTTGGTACTCCAGCATGCTAGAAGTTTATGGCGAGATACTTTTGACTTGGTGCCGCGAGGTATTTAAGGAGCGTAGGGACTTTAAACGAGGCTCTGACTTGTAGAGTAGGTACACAAGTAGACTTTATACAAGATCGATAGTAAACAACAGTAGAGCTACAGTCTCGTCACAGACTTCTAATTATACATTCAATCCGTTAAAAATCAAATATCTCATTCCAAACTTTGTTTTACAAGGTTACAATCATAGTTCGCATAAAATGAATACTCTTAAACAGTGCAATGGTTTTATAGCAAAGTAGGGTAAATTCAATTAAAATTTGTCAACTTATAATAATTATAATTTGAAATTTAGCATACTTGGACAGGTCTGTTCTGTAAGACTTTTCCATGATGTGTTAATAAAATAATTATATATTTTTATTGTGTGGATTCTTTCACTATCTGCAATATGGAGGTATGATGCATCAGTTTTTTTTTTTAATTTTTTAATGGATGTTTAAAGTATCACTCTAATTCACCAATAAAAGACCCTTATGAGCGTTTCTTTATTGTATATGAATTTTTTTTCAGAGAAAATGTTAAAATTGTTTTGGTTGCAAATAAGACACTTGAGAGCTTCAGATTTGCTTTCTATTAATGCATAATATAAATATCTAATAAAAAGTATCAAAAAGAGTCAGTTGGACATTTCATTTATTTTAATGGAAATTTATTTCTGAATATGAAAATCATAATTTGTTCAGTGCTAAATTTGTCTTTTTCTAATATACACCCAATGTGAATTTACAAAACTTCAAATGAAACTTGATACCATTTCTGAATCATGATGAATGAGGATTAAATATTACTTTAATGTAACTGTATGGTCAAAAATAGTAGAATAGTATTAATAGAAGGATGGAATGATAAAATATCTTTACATAACATTTCGAACCTTTTTAGCTCACCTGAGCAGAAAGTTCAAGTGAGCTTTTCTGACCACTGGTCCTAGTTATTCTGGTCTGGCATCCGACCGTCTGAAAACTTCACATTTTTGACTTCTTCTCAAGAACTACTGGGCCAATTATAACCTAAATTGGAACAAATCTTCCTTGGGTAAAGTGTGTTCTTAATTGTTCAATGAAGGGCCAACCCTCCCCCATACCCAATCAAAGGGGAGATAATCAAAAAAGGGCAGAAATGGGGGGTCATTAAAAATCAATCAGCAAAGCCATTATTAATATTATTAGTCACATTTATATGGAAGCATCCTTGGGTAGTTATACATGTATTCATTTTAGTTAATCAAAATCATTGAAATCATATCTGAATTAAGGATTACATCTAAACTAAAATCACATACTCTACAAAACAAGCACACGTCTAACTCTAGATTTGCTTTCCTTCTTGGAGTGGAATGGAAACTATGCTAATCTATAGTTCATATAATAAACTAAACCTTCATTCAACAATGTTAACAATTTTATTTCAACTAACAGAAAACATTAATATTATAAATCCATACAAGCATTCACATTAGTAATAATATTCTTTAGAAATCTATTAGATCTATACAGTCACTGCTGATTTTGAACCTATGAAATTTACCTGTAAGGTATGTGATCAATACATATTTTTTTAATGTAAAATGGAAGAATGAAAACAAAAAATGTGTAGAAAAACAATAACTTTATATAAATATAGCAAAAAATTTCCAACACCTCTTGGAAATGCATCAAATATATAGAATTTTTTTTCAACATCTGAATGACACAGCACTTGATCTGGTTGAGTTGCCCTCTTAATAGAAGGTTCAGGTCATCAAAGGTCAATGGATATGCGATTAAGATGTAATTAATAAATAGTCCAGGTCACTTGCTTCATGGGCGAAGCTCGTTCCAATGTGACATTCTCTAAAGCCTCCCTTGCCATCTCTATAACATTAAAAATATATTATAATAACATACAACAACAAAAAAATTACTTACAATAAGGTTCATCAATACATTGATACATATAAGAGAGATAACTCTTACTGACCAAGATAAATGACTACTGTTACATTAAAAGTTTAGACTTTATCAAGTTAAACTTATCTATAACAGTCTGACTTGGTAAGTCCAAACTTCTAATGTAACACTATTACATGTATTCCTTATTACTCCTTTATAAAATTGTCACTGACAAAAGCTAAAGCATTATTTCTGTCAAAGTTTGCCCTGCCAGGTATGCTGATATTGTGTATATTTTTAAAATTATAAATATTTGATTTCTTTTCGAAAAGCATGTCGAGCATAAATAGCAAAAATTTAATTTGAGTGAATAGAGAGATGATATGAACCATTAATTGTTGTTTCATTGATTGAAAAAAACTCTAATAAATTAGGCTTTCAATAATTTTGAAGTGAAGAGGTGAATTTATTCATTTGAAGAGGCTGTTTTAAAATTATTTTCAATAGTTTACTTCTTGAAGCAGCCAAATCCTATTACTGAAACAGTGATAAATCACCCCCCTCCCCCAACTCCCCTTATTAAAATTGACATCCCTGATATAATATATTTTAAAAACAAGCTTAATGCTGACTTTCAATCTTTACAAATTTATTAGAATAAACTAAATAGAATATTGTAAATTATAATGACTTTTTTTAAGGGAAAATTAGATGCAACTTAAAGGGAAGTAACTCAGATTAATATCTAAGTTTAGAATTGATATACCTGTAATTTTTGGACATCCGTGGAAAAGGAATATGTTGATTTGTGGACAGAATTGAAGAATTGCTTCCACTGACTCATCTGTTAATGCTTTACAACCATTTATGTGGACTTCCTGTGAAACAAATGAATTTTGCACAATTGACAAAATTTTGAGAGAATCATGGATAGTTATGTCAAAGTGAATTGGAAATCCCAAACACTTCTTTTTCAGGAGCTTGATGTTTTTTTCTCTCGGCTCTGTGGAGCTTGAGATAAAAAGGTTCTCTCTCTCTCTCTCTCTCTATATATATATATATCACTTACCTTCAGACACTGGTTACAGGCACCTGTTGCTATATTCATGATCCCTGCATCTGTAATCTGTGTTGTAATAGAAAAGGTAAGTATGACCATGTGCGTGTAGCTCTGTAATATTTTGAGATTCCAAACTTAGAAATGCTTAGCATCTGTGAAATGTCTCAATGGGCTGGTGATCTTTCTAAATGAATTACTATTTCCAAGTTAAGTACATTTGCACATGTTCCACCTTGGCCACTAACTAACTAATCAGAGCTCTGAACATTTCCTCATCATGAGAAAATTTACCTTTGTGTTGGACACATTGAGACACCTAAGAAATCGTGAGTTTTCCCCTAAAGCCTCCAGACACCTGTCCGTCAAAAGTGAACACCCACCCACATTCAGGTAACGAAGCTGTGAACAGTTTGTAGACAGTGCGATCACAGCCTCATCTGTCAGATTAAGACACCTTCGCAGGTAGACAGTCTGTAGGTTATGACAATTTTGTGCTAGCTGGATAATTCCTGGAATTAACACAAGATACAAAGTGAGTTTAGGGATTAAATGTTTCCAGAAAGTCATTGTGGAGAGAGAAGGGACTGGGATGATTTACATGTAATTCTCATGACTTTTTTACAAGGAAGATTAAAAAAAAATATGTACATGATACATCCTATCCTTCTTTTAAAAGGTTACAAACTATTTTTGTGTTGTCATCCAATATCATTTATAAATGAAGCATGTGATGATAGCTTTCTTCTCAGGTATAGAGATCGACACATGTAAGTTTATATGTTATAACTGTTCATAAATTACCTTGAGTTGAAATATTGGTAAGAAAAAAGAATTTAAAAATAATAACTAAGAAAACATGTTTGTATCAGAATGTACATTTACCACATGGAAATGGCTAGTATGAGATTGACCAAGTTTATTACCTTCAATGGAGATTTTGGTACCTTTCAGATTGAACATTACATGCATGTTGGCACATGAATCTGTACATTTAACTCCTTAAAATGAGATGTGTCTGGTGAAAATAAGGTATATTTACTCTCTGGATATAAGAACTCTGTATGAAATTGACCAGTTTATTACCTTGAAATGAGATGTTCGTACGATATTGTTTTGCTGAGTTGAGATCTGTCTTTAGAAGCTGGGGACATTTACACAGGTGATAATTACCTTGAGATATGGTATGAGATTGACTGATTTATTACCATGAGATGAGATGTTGGTTCGAGATTGTTTTGCTTTGTTGAGGTCTATCTCTAGAAGCTGGGGACTTATACACAGGTGATAATTACCTTGAGATGAGATGTTGGTACGAGATTGTTTTGCTGAGTTGAGATCTATCTTTAGAAGCTGGGGACATTTACACAGGTGATTCAGTCCTTCATCTGATACATCTGATTCACTCAGGTCTAAAACCTTCAGATTTTCATGTATCACCTGTATAGATAAAAGAGTCATTATCAACGTTATACTGTAAACATACTTTTTTTCCACAGGGTCAAAATTCCATAAAATCAAAATTTCTGTTCAATCCGTGGGTAAAAATTTAAACAGATTTCTTGAATTGCCTTTCTGTGCCTTCAATGCAATTTAAGTATGCTGTGACAAATTTCCATGGAAAACATGTGACAGCATACATAGCATAAATTTAAATTCCACAAGGAAAAAAAGTATGTCTACAGAAATTTAAACTTATTTCAAGTTACAGTTTAAGCTAAAAATGATGCAAGTTTAAAAGGTATGCTTTAAAAAAAAAATTAATACTGGCTGTCATCTGTACATTAGTACTTTACTTTTTAAACCAGTAATGTTAGATAGAACGTTCTATCGTTAAAATGATATATTGTCCTACGGACCCAGTTTGGTGCGGGCTTGTCCCTAGACACAGTTAGATTATTCTAACTACAGTAACGTATATAGTTGTACATTAATTCTATTCCTTTAATCTAAGAATGAACTCCTGCATTCTGATGTGAACTGATATCTTGTCAGTTTTACATACTTTTGGAAGATTTGTGTCTGTGATACAGCCCCTCTTTGACATGAGGTAGAGACATTTGTCTTTTAGGTTGCCTGGTAGCAGGGTGATGCTTTCAATACACATGGATGAGAGATTTTTCACTACACATTGCACAGTTCTAAAAAAAAAAATAATAACAGAACAAATCATATTAAGTTCTTCTCTTTACCAGCCAGAAATTTCTAAGTAAATGGGAAAGGGTGATTAGTTGTTGGAATATTTCAATACAAGAATTTATGTCAAATCAGTAACGTAAACATATGTACTTTTATGTATCTTTGAACAAGATACTATGAAAACACTGAGAGAAGTATAAAAAAAAAGTTATCAAAACTTGCTTTGACAACTCTTGGTAGTTTGTATAATTTAAGGGCTTATTGGCAACATTACATCGTTTAACTAAGAAACGTAATTGCTTACACGTCCAGCAGTGGGGCAACCTTTCCGTACCCAAGAACGTGAACAGTGGCGAGAGACTCCATATTGTTAGAACTGACAACCAATCAGCTTGTTGGAACTCTTTAGTTTTTAGAGGAGAAAAATATGTAGTCAGATGACTAGACAAACAACGGAGGTATAATATGTATGCTTTTTTGGATCTCGTAACCAGCCTCTATAACCAGGCAGAGCGCATGCGCGCAATAATTTTCCATCGAGATCGGAAAACGGGAGGAGGAAATTCGGAATAAATAATGGAAACTAGTAATGCAGACTGATACTATAGTCAGATGCAGAAATTTATGCATAATTCGATCAACTTTTATTTAAAAAGCAGAAGAATAAATGAATCAACTTTACAGTTACTTTTTATTTATTTCATTTATTTATTTATTTATTTCATTTAATTTATTTATTTATTTATCTTTCTAATAATTATATAAGTAACTGATTAATTTATTAAAAAATGTATTTATGTATTTTTTTATTTATTACATTCTTTCCTTTATTTATTAATTATTCCATCCATTAATTAATTATTTATTGATTAATTCATTGATTTATTAATTTGTATGGTTGTTAGTTTATTTATCTATTCATTTATTTATTATTCTTATAATTAAGTAATTGATTAATTCATTAGGAAGTTCATTTATTTGTTTATTTATTTATTACATTCATTCCTTCGTTTATTTCTTATTCTATTAATTAATTAATTAGTTTATTTATTTATTAATTTATTTATTTATTTATTTATTTATTCATTCATTCATTCATGCATGCATTTATTTATTGATTTATTTATGCATTTATCATATATTACTTTTATAAATTAATTGTGTTTACAGGGTCTGTATACTTATTACCAGGGTCTGTTTATATATTGCCATAGTTTGTATTATGTATCACCAGGGTCGGTATTATCTATCACCAGGGTCTGTATACCTATCACCAGGGTCTGTATACCCATCACCAGGGTCTGTATACCTATCACCAGGGTCTGTATTGTCTATCACCAGGGTCTATATACCCATCACCAGGGTCTGTATACCTATCACCAGAGTCTTTATACCCATCACCAGGGTCTGTATACCAATCACCAGGGTCTGTATACCTATCACCAGGGTCTGTATTGTCTATCACCAGGGTCTATATACCCATCACCAGGGTCTGTGTACCTATCACCAGGGTATGTATACCTATCACCAGGGTCTGTATACCCATCACCAGGGTCTGTATACCCATCACCAGGGTCTGTATTATCTATCACCAGGGTCTGTATTATCTATCACCAGGGTCTGTATACCCATCACCAGGGTCTGTATACCTATCACCAGGGTCTGTATAACCATCACCAGGGTCTGTATACCCATCACCAAGGTCTGTATTGTCTATCACCAGGGTCTATATACCCATCACCAGGGTCTGTATACCTATCACCAGGGTATGTATACCTATCACCAGGGTCTGTATACCTATCACCAGGGTCTGTATTGTCTATCACCAGGGTCTATATACCCATCACCAGGGTCTGTATACCTATCACCAGAGTCTGTATACCCATCACCAGGGTCTGTATACCAATCACCAGGGTCTGTATACCTATCACCAGGGTCTGTATTGTCTATCACCAGGGTCTATATACCCATCACCAGGGTCTGTATACCTATCACCAGGGTATGTATACCTATCACCAGGGTCTGTATACCCATCACCAGGGTCTGTATACCCATCACCAGGGTCTGTATTATCTATCACCAGGGTCTGTATTATCTATCACCAGGGTCTGTATACCCATCACCAGGGTCTGTATACCTATCACCAGGGTCTGTATACCCATCACCAGGGTCTGTATACCCATCACCAGGGTCTGTATTGTCTATCACCAGGGTCTATATACCCATCACCAGGGTCTGTATACCTATCACCAGGGTCTGTATACCAATCACCAGGGTCTGTATACCTATCACCAGGGTCTGTATTGTCTATCACCAGGGTCTACATACCCATCACCAGGGTCTGTATTATCTATCACCAGGGTCTGTATTATCTATCACCAGGGTCTGTATACCCATCACCAGGGTCTGTATACCTATCACCAGGATCTGTATACCCATCACCAGGGTCTGTATACCTATCACCAAGGTCTGTATTGTCTATCACCAGGGTCTATATACCCATCACCAGGGTCTGTATACCTATCACCAGGGTATGTATACCTATCACCAGGGTCTGTATACCCATCACCAGGGTCTGTATACCCATCACCAGGGTCTGTATTATCTATCACCAGGGTCTGTATTATCTATCACCAGGGTCTGTATACCCATCACCAGGGTCTGTATACCTATCACCAGGATCTGTATACCCATCACCAGGGTCTGTATACCTATCACCAAGGTCTGTATAATCTATCACCAGGGTCTGTATACCTATCACCAGGGTCTGTATACCCATCACCAGGGTCTGAATTATCTATCACCAGGGTCTGTATACCAATCACCAGGGTCTGTATACCCATCACCAGGGTCTTTATACCCATCACCTGGATCTGTATATCCATCACCAGGGTCTGTATACCCATCACCTGTTTGTGTGTCCACAAAAACTTGCCCATTACTTTTGATTGGTTGGATCTATGGTTTTCATATGTCACATGTGTATTTCTTGTGATAAAGCCTTTGTTTGGTTTCTAACGTATTTGACCTTTTGACCTTGATCTTGGAGTTTTGCCCACCTTTGCAAGAATTTACCAAACTTTTACCTTGGCTATAACTTTTGAACAGTTGGTGCAAAGGCTTTCATACTTTACATGTGTATTCCTTTCAACGGATATTTTTAAAAAAAATTGACCTTGACCTTTGAGTTTTACCCATTTTTAAAAAAATTAACCTTGAGGAGTTAGTATCAGGGCCTTTATTTTCCACATGTGTATTCCTTGTGACAAATCCTTTCTTTGTGTTCCAACATATTTGAAATTTTGACCTTTATCTTGGAATAAGACCTACTTTTGAAAAACTTTAATCTTGGCCATATATTTTGGACAGTTGGTGCTAATGCTTTAAAGTTTTACATGTGTATTTCTTATGACAAGGCCTTACCCTGGGTACCTTTAATTTGACCCTTTGACCATGACCTTGCAGTTTGACCTACATTTAAAAAAACTTTAACTTGGGCTAAATCTTTTGAATGGTTAGTGCTTGGAATTTCACATTTCTCATATATTCGTGTATTCACTGGGAGTCCTTTCTTTGGGTAACAACATTTTTCAGCTATTAATATTTGAGTTTGAGTTGCATTTGAGAAACTTTAACCATTAGCCGAAAGCTGCCATACAGGGACATCAGTGTTTCACAAACACATCTTGTTTTAATTTGAAATACCAAACAAAATTAAATTGAAATATTCGATAAGAACCATTATAGTTTTTAGATAATTTTGTTCACTAAAGAAGAGAAAGTTCTTTGCTGTAAAGTTAGGTTTATTTGTACGTTTGTTTGTTCAATAATTTGTTTATTTATTTTTGGCCTGAAATGACCATGTTATTGACCATTCGAGAAATTAATATCAATACGATATGTTCTTTGATATCAAACATATAAAACTTTCATGAATACTTAGCTTTGAAGTCTGCATTTGGTCTGTGCGACTTTGTAAATATATTTTTTAATGAACGCTTAATTGCACTGAAAATTTAAGTTTAATTTTAAATTTAAATTTAAGGAGGTATAACCTACCGATTACATGTATTTTTATTGGGGGAGGTGGGTTAAACTCACTATTTATAACAAGGTGTTGTCAGTCTAACTATCATGATAAATAAATAAGGATGACTAAATAATTGTCTGGAATGTGTTGCTTGGAATTTATTTCAGGGCCTAAACATGTAGATCAAGGTGTAGGGAAAGGTAGACCAATAATAACGACCTCACTATAGATTTTCAATCCACCTTCTTCGGTGTAAATACTACAATTTTATTTATTTCATTTGTATTTACAATTCATCAAATTATAAATTCAGATTAACAATTTGTTATTACAATTTTTTATCTTTTATAAAACAAGTTAACTTTTTATAATTGAAAATTATTGATTAGTTGTTAAAGTGTTGTATAAATGTTTTCCATCCTGCTGGGTTAATGTTAAAGTATGAATTTGAATTCCCCCAATACTGATGTACAAAAATCACCGTTACAGAAAAAAATGCGAATAAAGCGTTAGATTAATTTATCTTATCCAAATAAAGAATTGAGAACGCTTAAACTGGTTGCAAATGGTACATGTAGTCTAATTCAGGAAAATTCTATGAAATATTTTGTTTATAAAACAAGTAAAATCAACAGTTAACACATTAATCACAGATTGTGTTTGTCTGCACATGATTAGAAAAATCGGCTTTCTAAGAAATTGCCCCAAAATGTACGATACATGGGAGAATTATTTGAAATCACAAAGATAAAGTCAGATAGGAAACAAACTCACTCAATCTTGTAATTCATATTCGATTATCTTGTGATTTATTTTTGAAGGTTGTGAATACTTTATAATTACATTTAAAAAATCCCTGTGATTCATATTTAATTATGCGATAATCTTGTGACTTATATCCGAAAAGTTCATATTTGAAATCTTGTTACTGTGTATTTTTTTTTAGGTGTGTCAAAATATTTATTTTCCTTAGTCGACTATTCGATAACATTATTCGAACGATAGTCGAATATTCGGAACATTTTCTTAAAATAAAATTTTAATATTTCAAACCTCACTTGTAAATGCAGGAGGTATTTATAACAAAAAAAAAAAAACTTTTTACCTCATATATACAAAAAAGTAACATTAATTGCCTCTGTTGCACACAGATGTTTACAGGCACCTAACGTGTGGGCAGTGTGTTTAGATGAAATAAATTTAGACCGTAAATTATTCATATATCAGTTTTTATTTTAGCAAGCATTAAAAAAAATTGCCAGCATGATATTTTTTAAAGTTTACAAAAATAAAGAGGGGGTGGGGGGTTAATACAAACTATCTACACGTCTTACTCTGAATATATGTATTGTTAATAAAATTAATTTGGAAAGATATACATGTAGATATCATTACTTCAAATAAAACGTTTTATCATAATTATCATTTTATATTTCATGGAATTTTATTCAATTATTCTCCATTGCTAGAGCAAATTCGCCGGGACAGTCTATGTGTTTGTTCATCACAAAAACTTGAACATTCGTCATAATTTTTTGTTTAGTTTATCAATTTCAAGAAATATCCATCTAATAGAAAATGTATAATAATTTTGAAAAGATCAGACTCTCATATTCCACATATGAATTAAGAATTACAGAATCTTTCTAATTTATCATTTTTTTTTATCTTATGACCTTGTGAAATTTGATATACTTATAAAAAAATAACCCTGACCTAAGCTTAGTATGGAATGAGATATATGTTTTCATAATTCACATGTGCAATGCCCGTGACAAAACTATAACAAGTCACTGGAAAGTATGATCTTTGACCTTGACATTTGACCTTCTTTACAAAACTTTTAATCCTGGCCAAAGCTTTGCACCTGATGAGACAGGACTTTTATATTTTCATGTACATGTACATAGCTGTAACAAGACCTTCCAAATATACTCTGATTTTTAACCTCATAAACTTGACCTTGAAGTTTGACTTTCAAGTCATAACTCAATCCTTGGTCCAAAGCTTTTAAACAGAACATCCAACTTTAAAAATATATAATAATTTTAAATATGATGAGCTACCACGACAGTCACAATATGCCATAGATGATTGCATCCCAACCAAAAAAAAAAAAAGATTAAAGACATTACATATCATTTCCCTGTAGTGAAATACACTGGGTATCCTTCTTGACAACATGACAGCTAGGGTTTGTAGAACACATATATTTTGGCACTATTATCCTACTGTTCTACTGTCATGAACATAGAAGAAATTTGAACTTTGTGCTGGTTGCTTTTCTTTTATGATATTTTTTTTTTCATTTCACACTTTATTGATTAATTATGTAGATATGTATATGTTCACATTTTCTGTGGAACAAGTAAACAACATAACGGAATTTTAAGATTTCTCTCGATTTATGCAATAGAGGAATCAGGATACATTGACATTTACAATGTAAAGATATTTCCACACAAATTTAAATCTTTGTCCATTGTTATAAATTTCTATATCCTTTGCTTCCTCCTTGACAGGCTTACACTACAAAATAAAAAGTAAATAAGATCAATATAACATTAGAGTTAAGGCATCTTCTCCACAAGATGTTACGTTTATGACTAGAAACATGCAAAGAGACACCCTAAAAAGTAATTAAATTGGATTCCATTTTCATAATGCAAACTAGGTTGAAGGACACCCTACTAAAAAGATGGCATTTAGACCCTGCGAGAGGGAAAGATAAACTGTGGTGATGGGTATACATACCCTGGTGATGGGAATATAGACCTTGGTGATAGACAATACAGACCCTGGTGATAGGTATACAGACCCTGTTGATTGGTATACAGACCCTGGTGATGGGTATACAGACCCTGGTGATAGGTATACAGACCCTGGTGATAGGTATACATACCCTGGTGATAGGTATACAGACCCTGGTGATGGGTATATAGACCCTGGTGATAGACAATACAGACCCTGGTGATAGGTATACATACCCAGGTGATGGGTATACAGACCCTGGTGATAGGTATACATACCCTGGTGATAGGTATACAGACCCTGGTGATGGGTATACAGACCCTGGTGATGGGTATATAGACCCTGGTGATAGACAATACAGACCCTGGTGATAGGTATACAGACCCTGGTGATAGGTATACATACCCTGGTGATAGATAATACCGACCCTGGTGATGGGTATACAGACCCTGGTGATGGTTATATATACCCTGGTGATAGATAATTCAGACCCTGGTGATGGTTATATATACCCTGGTGATAGATAATTCAGACCCTGGTGATGGGTATACAGACCCTGGTGATGGGTATACAGACCCTGGTGATAGGTATATAGACCCTGGTGATAGATAATACAGACCCTGGTGATAGGTATACAGACCCTGGTGATGGGTATACAGATCCTGGTGATGGGTATACAGACCCTGGTGATGGTTATATATACCCTGGTGATAGATAATTCAGACCCTGGTGATGGGTATACAGACCCTGGTGATGGGTATATAGACCCTGGTGATAGATAATTCAGACCCTGGTGATGGGTATACAGACCCTGGTGATGGTTATATATACCCTGGTGATAGATAATTCAGACCCTGGTGATGGTTATATATACCCTGGTGATAGATAATTCAGACCCTGGTGATGGGTATACAGACCATGGTGATGGGTATACAGACCCTGGTGATGGGTATACAGACCCTGGTGATAGGTCTACAGACCCTGGTGATAGATAATACAGACCCTGGTGATAGGTATACAGACCCTGGTGATGGGTTTACAGATCCTGGTGATGGGTATACAGACCCTGGTGATGGTTATATATACCCTGGTGATAGATAATTCAGACCCTGGTGATGGGTATACAGACCCTGGTGATGGGTATATAGACCCTGGTGATAGATAATTCAGACGCTGGTGATGGGTATACAGACCCTGGTGATGGTTATATATACCCTGGTGATAGATAATTCAGACCCTGGTGATAGGTATACAGACCCTGGTGATGGGTTTACAGATCCTGGTGATGGGTATACAGACCCTGGTGATGGTTATATATACCCTGGTGATAGATAATTCAGACCCTGGTGATGGTTATATATACTCTGGTGATAGATAATTCAGACCCTGGTGATGGGTATACAGACCCTGGTGATGGGTATATAGACCCTGGTGATGGGTATACAGATCCTGGTGATGGGTATACAGACCCTGGTGATGGTTATATATACCCTGGTGATAGATAATTCAGACCCTGGTGATGGGTATACAGACCCTGGTGATGGTTATATATACCCTGGTGATAGATAATTCAGACCTTGGTGATAGGTATACAGACCCTGGTGATGGGTATACATACCCTGGTGATAGGTATACAGACCCTGGTGATGGGTATACAGACCCTGGTGATAGATAATACAGACCCTGGTGATGGGTATACAGACCCTGGTGATGGGTATACAGACCCTGGTGATAGGTATACATACCCTGGTGATAGGTATACAGACCCTGGTGATGGGTATATAGACCCTGGTGATAGACAATACAGACCCTGGTGATAGGTATACATACCCTGGTGATTGGTATACAGACCCTGGTGATGGGTATACAAACTCTGGTGATAGGTATACAGACCCTGGTGATGGGTATGTAGACCCTGGTGATAGACAATACAGACCCTGGTGATAGGTATACAGACCCTGGTGATAGGTATACATACCCTGGTGATAGGTATACAGACCCTGGTGATGGGTATATAGACCCTGGTGATAGACAATACAGACCCTGGTGATAGGTATACAGACCCTGGTGATGGGTATACAGACCCTGGTGATAGGTATACAGACCCTGGTGATAGATAATACCGACCCTGGTGATACATAATACAAACTATGGCAATATATAAACAGACCCTGGTAATAAGTATACAGACCCTGTAAACACAATTAATTTATAAAAGTAATATATGATAAATGCATAAATAAATCAATAAATAAATGCATGCATGAATGAATGAATGAATGAATAAATAAATGAATAAATAAATAAACTAATTAATTAATTAATAGAATAAGAAATAAACGAAGGAATGAATGTAATAAATAAATAAAGAAATAAATGAACTTCCTAATGAATTAATCAATTACTTAATTATTTAATTATAAGAATAATAAATAAATGAATAGATAAATAAACTAACAACCATACAAATTAATAAATCAATGAATTAATTAATAAATAATTAATTAATGGATGGAATAATTAATAAATAAAGGAAAGAATGTAATAAATAAAAAAATACATAAATACATTTTTTAATAAATTAATCAGTTACTTATATAATTATTAGAAAGATAAATAAATAAATAAATTAAATGAAATAAATAAATAAATAAATAAATGAAATAAATGAAATAAATAAAAAGTAACTGTAAAGTTGATTCATTTAATCTTCTGCTTTTTAAATAAAAGTTGATCGAATTATGCATAAATTTCTGCATCTGACTATAGTATCAGTCTGCATTACTAGTTTCCATTATTTATTCCGAATTTCCTCCTCCCGTTTTCCGATCTCGATGGAAAATTATTGCGCGCATGCGCTCTGCCTGGTTATAGAGGCTGGTTACGAGATCCAAAAAAGCATACATATTATATCTCAACAACGTCATACATCGGCAAAATGGCAGATGGACCTTCGAAAAGTGATATAAATGCTATTTTCAAGCGTTTGCGATCAATTCCCACTAATAAGGTTAGTTTTAAGGGACACTTTGGTAGAATGTAATTGGATTTTTGTCTATATCAGACTTTCCACCCCAGAACTTTTACATTCTGCCCCTTGATCTGACGTGTGGAAACGCATATGTGGCATACATTCGAATTTTCTCTGTAAGCCGACACTTTTTTCCTCTCACATAGTAAATGAATTTATTTTGCGAATGTGATGCTTTTACATATGTTCCATGACAAACAAAATATTATTTTACACATCAGTCTAAGATTAGGGGTGTGCACAATAATTTCAAAATTAAGCAAACAAAAGACTGAAAATGATATTGTTGACAGTCCCTGTCATCAATTATGAAACAGAAAGTGTATTGCTGAAAAAAAAAATAAACATGGTAATGATAGCTAATATAAAAGTATTGTATAACAGCATAGTCATTATCTGTTGTAAACATAAAGACCATGTATCGATCAAATAGAATGTTCTAGAGAAATTGGAGCTGGAGATTCCTTTAACTGTTACACCAGAATTTATAATTTATTATAATAAATTGTTCATGATTAGACCTTTGGGACCAGCACGGTTGTGTCGTATTTAACACGAGATTCCTATTTACTGTCAATAAAACTTTAGAAAAAAAATGATTTGGGTCAATATGCACAATCCAAATGTTTGCATCACCAAAGTGTTGCCTTAATTAAGAACTTGCAATGTGAGTGGCACTGATTGTAGTGCCTTTAAATTAAAACTGAATCGATTTCATCATGATAGAACAAAAAAAGCATCAATAATATTTAGTACCAAAAGCAGTAATATTTTGACATTCCGTTATCAAAGTTGAAACATAGCTCTCGACTCTTACCTATATTTCTTAAGAAAGATTTTTCAAATTTCGGTATTAATTTTCTAATAATCACAACTCTCAAAAGAATTTTTTTTATCAAATTGTTATTTTTTTTTGTAGACATGCTTTGACTGCAACAGCAACAACCCCACATGGGCCAGTGTGACATATGGTGTGTTCTTGTGTATAGACTGCTCAGCTGTTCATAGGTCACTGGGTGTTCACGTAACCTTTATACGCTCCACACAACTAGACACAAGCTGGACATGGCTGCAACTTCGTGCAATGCAAGTCGGTGGAAATGCCAATGCTGTATGTATACTTTAACAAGAGAATTAATGTATAATTTTTTTTAAATAAATGTAAAGCCATACCAATTTGCAATCTAGTTCGTTGGATTCGCTGCTTCTATTTGTAACAATTCCAAATTATAATATTATCAAAAAAATATGTCCGCCCGCACATCAAAAAATATCCAAGTACATTTTTTCTTGACTTTTTACACCAAACGCACAAAAGACTTCAGAACACATGTTGAGGAATGGCAGAAGCATGGGATGGAGAAAGATCATACTTCGTAACTCATACTGTGTAACAAGGTGTCATTGTGTGAAGTTTTTCATGATGCCTGTCTACTCTTTACATATACGATACATCAAAAGTTAAAAACAATGGATGTGAATTTTTTTTTCTTATACTGCAATCGAACTAGAAGCCGAGGAAACTTTAGAAGCGCTGTTTGATGTTATTATAAAGAGAACATCAAAAAGTCCACGGAAGGCTTGATGAATATTGATGTTTGCTCTATCAAAATAAAAAAAAAATTTAAGAGTGATGTAGTTGAGATTTCAAGACTGGACATGTCCCTAGGAATTTGCATGGAATTGAAAAGAACTTCTGTAGAAATGAAACTAAATTGCAATGTATGTAACATGTATCACTCATTCAAAACATGACAAACAGAAAGTAGGTGCATTTTCACGTTTTATGAATGCTTCAAAAAAATATTCTCACCCTGGAAAAATTACAGGCAAACGAGACCACAGAATTTATTGAATGATTTGATAGATTGGACAACAAATTGGAGAGGAAATTCTTCAAAAAGACCTTATTTAATGTAGCAAAACATTTCTTTTTATGAATTATTTTTGAAACCTGAAACTTTTTTATTTATTGAAAACAATATGAAAAAAGTTATAAATCATAAGTTCGTGTGATATACAAATGATATCTAATTATTTTAAGTCTTCATTTTTTAAGCCCTAGCTCTTTGGTATCATGCTTTATTCGTTTAAAAAAATTATATTACTTGTATTCGCTCGCCTCATAATTTTTAGCCCCAAAATGAAAAATAGTATTTGTAAAATTATTTCGCTCTCTCGCATCACTTTTTATTTTTGAAAGTCCGAAGATCTATTTTACATATTGGTGTGGCCTAAAGTTGATATTTTAAATTACCCAATCAGAGAATTTATGATTGACCTAAACATACTAAACAAGTTGAATATAAATCTTAACAGAAGAATATGAGATCAGTTCCAGGAATTGTTGACTTTACATGTGGCCATTTTGATGTATAATGTGCATTCCTACTGTGTACAGTTATGTGCATGTATACAAACTTGTAGATTATAAGATTCAGACTCAACACTTGAAGTGTACATCAGTAGGTGTTCCTGTAATGATAAGAAACAGGTAATGCTTTTACAAAAAAGGAGGTACCTTGTGGAAGCGACTTAAATTATGTATGTTATGAAATTTTTCTCCCAGAAATATTTTAGCTGGTACAATCATGATTTCAGCTGGGTAAAAGTACTAGGTTCCAACAGATTTTGAAATTCTGGTTATATGTGCATGGAGACTACCCAATTTTCTTTTATCCCGACCTATACTGTAGTGAAGTTCTGCGGTATGAGAAACACACTTTTATTTCTTTATTTTTAATTTTTTTCCTCTTTTTAGACTGCCTTTTTCCGTCAGCATGGTTGTACAACATCAGATGCCCAACAAAAATATCACAGCAGAGCTGCCAAGCTCTATAAAGACAAACTCCACTCCTTGGCAACAAATGCTATGAGACTCCATGGAACGAAGGTATGGAAACAAAAATTATGTCTCCTAAACCATGAACTTGAAGTATCAAACAATAAAAATATACTTTAAACATGTTAAAAGCAGAAATATTCATTGGGGATTAAATTTCATTTATTTTGTTGTTAACAGTTATCAACGAAATTAAATCCCACACGAAATTTTTAAATGACTATATATACTGAATAGAGTTACTTTCAAAACAAAGAAATTTAATGTCAACGAAACCTTTCGAGAGGACAAAACAAATGCTTATAACATTATCCTAGCAGTTAAACTGATTAGTGAGATTATAGTGGTAAAATTGTAAAAAAAATTTTGGAACAACTCATTTATCTACAGATAAACTAAGAACTAGTGATCCAGTTTACTTCAGATCTTACCTATATTGAACCCTAAAGTACATTTACATGTATTTGTTTATGTATTCATCAAATATCTAACTTTAAAAACTTTTATTTTAGGGAATGACCATTTGATTCTGAATCTGAAAAGGGGGGGGGGGGGGGGGTAGTAGCATTTGTCAAGGACAGATTATTTATTTTCTTGCCAGTCAAGGACAGATTACTTATTTCCTTGACAGTCAAGGACAGATTATTTTTTTTTCTTGCCTGTCAAGGACAGATTATTTATTTTCAAAATATTCCAATTCCCCTCCCCCTTCAGAATCAAATGGTCATTCCCTTAGGCCATTTAATAATTTTAAATTTTACTGTAACCTGTATATTTCCCTACAGTTACACATAGACAGTCATCATGAACCCACATCTCCGACGACAAAAGAGGAAGTCGATTTCTTCAAAGAACATGCTGACAGTATTGACTCCACACCTATTGCAGAAAATCAGAAGCTGTTCAGTGCATCAGAGCCTCAGCCAATCAAAAATGGCAATCTGAAAAAGGAGGATTTTGGTAAGATGAAATTTTAGCCAATCAAAATTCAGATGTTGAAGAGTGTGCCAAAACATCCCCAAATTAGAAATGACATATGTGGGCAGATGATGAAATATACAATTCAGCTACCTGAAAAGAATATCATATTGAAAAATATATACTTGTAAAAAGAAAAAAAAATTAAGCTATAAAAATATATAGCATATCTAAAGCAGCTAAATTAAATGTAATGAACTGTTTGAAAAAATGACATTCTAGGTTAAGAGAAAGGACATACTCAGAATATTAGTCAATATGAATTTACAATTACATAATGAATTGATACTTTATCACAGACCCCTCTGAGGGCCCCAGTGTAGAAGCAGCCTTAAGTATGTCACCAACTTCAGCAGCCGCTCAGGCGGAACCACGGAAATCCATCATAGGAGCAAAAAAACCTGCTGGCAGGAAAGGGGTAAGATCTAGCCCTGGGGCCATAAAACTTAGCCAGCCCACTTTTGATTTCAATCTCTCTTTTATGATAGAAATTTATAGTGGAAAAGTGAGACTGGGATCAAAATTGAGCTCATCATAGGTTTACGGCTCTTGGAAGGGGTAAAAGTACATGTTTTGAATTATGAAAGCTTTTAGCATCCAATATAGATACAGGTTTTTTTTTTTTTAAATTTATGAAATTGATAATTATATGATCCTTTTTTTTTGTAAAGGATTTTATTTCCATATTTCATTTATAAGTTTTATGGAAGAGGTAAAATAAATTGCCTGGTATCAAGTTTTTAATGAGGAGTCAAGAATATATCAATCTCTTTCTTTTTACATAGGGGGAATGGTTGGGGGAATGGTACTAGGATCTGTAATGTTATGTCAAACTTTAAATACATTTCTAAAAAAGAATTCTGGGTATCTTTATGGTATGATTGAAATTGATTTGATAAAAGAAATGGAAAGAAAAATATAAAGTGTCAGCTCTTTATGTTGATTGTAGAAGGGTGGTCTTGGAGCACAGAGGGTGAAAACAAACTTCTCAGAGATTGAGAATAAAGCTCAGCAGCTGGACAAAGAGAGGGAGGAACTGGCCGCCAGTCGAGCTGTCCAGGAGGCCAAGTCTGAAGAGGAAAAGGCCAAACAAATGTAAGGGGTGGATCCAACAAATGTAAAGGGGCGGAGCCCACAAATGTAAAGGGGTGGATCCAAGAAATGTAAAGGGGTGGATCTAACAAATGTAAAGGGGGTAGATCCAACAAATGTAAGAGGTTGATCCAACCAGAAAGATTTATGGGAGGTAGAGTGAGGGATTAAATTGGCTTGTAAGGATTAAATCACAGAGAATATTGGGGAATTTAGATTAAAGAGTTTTAGGTTGGATAAGAAATAATTTTTTGATGTCAGCTTTGAAGATGCACATAAATTTTAAACTTAATTTTAGATCATAAATGAAGAATGGAAAACACCTACAATTTTCTTTGTTTCCTTTTGTTGATTTGAATTGCAGGTTTTACTTTATTATGATTAAATAATTATGTTGTGTTTCATTGAAAAGGTCTGATAAACTAAAATTATAAAATTTTCTCAGTCTTAATTTTCTACAATAACATGAGCTTCATTCTTACAGGGCCTCTATGAGATTAGCATACCAAGACATGAGTATAGAAAGAAAGAAACAAGAAGAGAAGTTAAAGCAGTCAGACCCTAAAAAGGCGGAACAATTAGAGAGGCTCGGCATGGGGTTTGCTTCATCAAAGTAAGTCAGAGGGGCTCTTCAAAGGATTTCTTTACCTTGATAATTATTTAAGTAGTGGGGTTACACACATCTAATGATATTTTTTTGTTGCTTATGATAGCAAAATGTTCATAAAAAAAAGCACATTCAGAGACAAGTATGTATGCTTAGAATGTTTATTGGATGTTTATTGAAAAGGAAATTAACTTGTCTTTGCCTCAAGAATTGCTAATGTTTTCTTCAAATTTGAAAACAAGTATACCAAATGATATGTTTCTATCAATTGATTTATCTGTCCACTAGATACATCAAGGTAGAAGTGGCTTAATTTTGATAATTGCATGTGTGTGAGGTCAGGGATAATCTTTGTGCAATCAGGCATTGCAACAAAAGTTAAATTCCATGGTCTTGTAAAGCATATGTCTTCTTTGAATTTTTCTTCTTATCGTGAGTTGATTTCTGCTGTTTTTCAGGGGGATGAGCCATTCAGCCATGACAGACATGCAGGTCATTGAGCAGGAACAGCCAAATTCCTCCAGATCAAAATACGATAAAAAGCCATCAAAGGGGCGGAGCTTTTTTGACGATGAGCTGGATGACTACACTTCCTCTTCCTCTAAGTATGAATTTTAAGGAGTGGATCCAGATTTTTGTCATCCTTCTTAAGTTTCACATTGAAAGCTTTATCTTTTTAATAGTGAATTTGTATGTCATCTATTTAGTATTTTACAATTAACATATTATATTTTTATTTTGTTTCAAGAGATAAAATTTTGATTTTTCTGTGTTAAACATATGTCAATAGAGACTCCTGTTGGATTCTTCGAAAAAAGAAACCATGAAAATACAAATTTCTTCAATCCATACATTTTCTCAAATGTAAAGCAGAAAAAAAATTTAATTGGAGGTTTGGATAGCTTTAAGAAGTCTATAAACACAAAATTCTTTATGATATTTAAAGTTCAGAAGTATATACTATGCCGAACTAGGTATTAAAGACTTTTTGTACATAGGTGTGACCAAAACTTTGATTATGTACATACATGTAGATATGACCGAAACTTTGATTTTGTATCTAGGTATAACCAAGACTTTGATTTTGTATATAGATATAACCGAGACTTTGATTTTCTATCTAGGTATGACCGAGACTCTGATTTTGTATGTAGGTATGACGTAGACTTTGCCTTCTATCTAGGTATGACCGAGACTTTGATTTTGACAAGAAGGACTCCTTCGGCTCCTGGGGAAACAACAACAAATCTGGGAGCTGGGACATTGACCGCTTCGACTCCAAACAGAGCTTCTCCGAGACCCTGTCCAGCAAACCCCAGAACGACGAAAAGTAGGTCAAATATTGGTGTGAAAGATATATAGTTGTATGGCAGGATATTGAAAAAATGAATTATTTTGTTGATTGATAAATAAATGTTGGATTGTTATTATTAGTATACATACTTATTTTTTCTGCTGCCCAGTTTGGAGGAGTTGTATGATGATGAGGATTCAGGGTAAAAAAAATTACGTCACAGGGTACAATACACAAGCTTACAGTCCCCCATAAACAGGCACAAAAAAAAAAATCAGATTTGATGGGTTTTTTTTTTCCATTCTTATAAAGATGTTACAGTAAAACTCGTTTAGTACAGATGATATATCGAAATTTTTCGCAATCCCCTGCGAAATTCTTAACAATTCCTTATAAAATTTTGTGGATATAACGAACTTGGATGTAGCAAATTTATGGTTATAATGAACTGATTCTGTGTCCCCTAGAAGTTAAAAATAACGACATTTACATCTTTTATAGCAAATTTTCAAAGATATCAATTTTGAATATTAAACTAACATCAATTTTGTAAGTATGAATATTTGAAAGTCTACTCATCAAAAACTTTTGAATCCAAGGTAAATTTTGTATTTTATACTTCCCTAAAAACATTTTGTAGTCATACTTGAAGGAAAAAAATCTATATTGTGAATTTGCTATGTATACTTTATAGGGCTGGGACGATACAACATTTTCTATATCGATACGTATCACTACATTTGAAGCACGATACGATATGTATCACGATATGTTGAATTAGTTATAAAATGCTTTTTTGTATTGAAATGAACACAATATTTCTTCACAAAATACGAATAATTTATTCAGAGAAGTTGTATCTCTGTTGTAAAACAAAATTCTTTTACACAAGTGGTGTTATTATTATGTATTTCATATTTATATTTATATTTTGCATATTTATTTTATATATTTAACCCAAAAAATGTTAAGTTAACAAAGAAAAAACATAAGTCAGAAATTTTTTGCGATATTTCGATATTTCTTCATTCGTATCGATATGCGTATCATCCTCACATTGAATCGATATTATTGATATCTCGATATATCGTCCCAGCCCTAATACTTTAACGAATTCGTTATACGGATATAACAAATTACGGATATAGCGAAGGTCCCCAGAACTTTGCTATAACTGAGTTTTACTGTAGCAGTGATCAAATCAAAAAATTTTTTTAAAAATTAAAGCACAAAACATTATTTCTGCTCACTCTGTGTAATGATATAATCAAATTTTGGAAATATGTCCTTTTAATATCTGTTGAGGCTAATAGACATAAGCCACAATGCATTGGATGATTGTGTTGTGGTACTCAAAAAAAAAAAAAAAAAATGCTGCATTGTTTACCCTGGTTAATTAGGTCACCCAACTGTAACAAAATTGCCTCTAATTAATAATAGGGAGGACAGTGTAGCTTAGTTCAAAGAAAACATTATAGACCCGTAGTTAGTTGTGAGAAGTTTTAGTTTGATGCTTCAGTTGAGTTTTCCCACAGGTAAACGAACACAATAAAGGGGATACAAAATAGAAGCTTAAGTTTAAGTTTCTGTGATGTGGGATGGTCACCATTTATTATGGTCCAAGTAATATGACCACAGGAGCCTGTAATTTAACTTATTGTTTTCAGTGGTACATGGGCAATTATAGATTGATCTCTGTGAAATCATTTATTTCCGTTCTGTGTATGGGTTCTAGTTTTCAGAAAGTTCTGGATAATTTTTTTAACCTGTGATATAGTTAAACTTCACCATACATTTTTGTGCATATTTTGAAAAGTGTGTTCATGTGGAATATTCCATGAAGTGAATGATTTTCTGTTCAGTGGTAACCATTCTTCAATTATATATTTTATTTCATGGGAAATAAAATTACATGCAGTTGGTTTTTCATTATAAGGAGAAAAAAAAACAACTTATAAACATGTAAAATGTATTTTGGATTCAAAAATTAACAAAAATAATTGATTTCACAGATGGTAAATGTAGATAGTTACTATGAAACAACACGTGATACAGAGCATGGCAATGTAGTTGTTTCTAAACTTGCTTTTGAATTTAGCTTTTCTTTAGTACATACTAGTCAAGAAAAATCCTCCTTGATACCTAGGGACATGATTATTTATTTTCCTTTTTATCAAAGGGAATGTTTGTACCCAAATGATAATATTTAATATTTTCCATATTCAAAAAGTGTTCAGAAGTCAGGTAATTAGTTATTTGGCTTCAGTCTTGAAGAAAATACAGATAGGTGCAAGGTCTTTATAATTAAACTGCATGACTTGTTAAACTTTTGAAATTGATTATTTTTTCAGACAAGGAAGAAGCCGTAAGGCATATGACTACAGTTCACAGTCGACGTCCGAAGAAGCCCAGAAGAAATTCGGCAACGCCAAGTCTATATCTTCAGATCAGTTTTTCGGGAAACCGGATGCAGATGTAAGAACCCTGTCTATAGCAGAAGTGACCATAGTACTGTTAAAATAAGCTAAATCAAGCTACAATTGAGTCCAGATATTTTAGTAGACATGATCAAACAAAGTTACAATGCAAAAGTTTCACACTTATTTTTTTGTAACTTAATGCTACATGTAATCAAATAATGATTGATACATCGAAAGGGGAATAAATCTAGATTTTAAATCATTCTAGAGCAAAACATTCAATTTAGTTTTTAAATAATTGTTGTTATGAAGTAAAAGAACATTTTTTTTTCTGCAGTCATTAATTTATCTGTTTAATTCCTACATTTTAATGTTGGTAAATAAAGAACCCAAGTAAGTATAGGCTTTGAAGGCATTTTTGAAATTATTGAAATATAAAGAGTTTCGGATGGCAGTCATCTGATATCACAGGTATATACGTGGAGCATCTAGCTCTCTGAGATTCTTTCACATTGTAGCCTGAAAACATTTCCGTCATGAAAATGAAAATCAAATTTTTCCTCAAAGTAACATGCAGATATATTGTAGCAAGAGTGAACAATAATTCCCAAAAGAAAATCTGAGTGAAAATTACTGATCACTTTGTAGTTTGAGATGCGTCAGAATTTGTCCAGATTTGAGGGAAGTAACAGTATCTCCAGCTCTCAGCTGTTTGGTACGGAATCCGCGGGTCGTAAGAATTATTCCAGCAATGCTCCCGATCTACAGGATATAAAAGACGGAGTTCGTCAAGGGGTCACAAAGGTCGCAGGGAAACTTTCCAATCTAGCCAGTGGTGTTATGAGTTCATTACAGGTAGGACTTAGTAAATCTGTACACTATAGAGTGTATGAATAATTATATACATATAGTGTGATTAATGTTGTAAATGTATCAGTTTGTATTTGAAAAGTTTAAAGGTATAATGTAAGCATCTATATATAAACTGGTAAGCCACGTTGATTGCCATAAAGAAAAAAGTGGTCTAAAAAAGAACTGCTAATTTTTCAAGGGTAGGGAATCTTATGTGACAAAAAGTGTTTGAAAATTGTTATTTAAAGAAACAGACTTCTTTTGTTTTCCTTTACTAAAGAGATAATACATACTGGTGCATAATTAAGAGTCTTAATATATAATTTCTTATGATATATTGCATTTGTGATTAAAGTTGGCATGTTTAAGCAAAAACACCTCACACACTAGATTAACAGCATCTAGGAAAGTCCCTTTCCATGTAAACTACATGTATGTACATCTGTACAAGAATTAAAAAAAAAACTTTTTAATACACTGTAGCACTAATCATACCAGCTATTTTTTTTTATTAAAAGCATGCCATAATATGTATAATATTTGTAAATAGGAAAAAAGTTCTTGACTTCTTATTTATTTTAACAATTAACTCTGTCCTTTGCAGAGAAATAAATAACAAGGTAATATTACAGGCTTTTTTTCTGGTAAAGCCTGGTAGGTTTATCTTGTTCTTTTTTTCAAATGGGGAGCTTTGTGTAAAGTTTTAATGGTTCAGTGGCAATCCTTTGTTTTTATGTATCAATCCCATCCATTCCTTTATCATTGTAAACTTCAGCATCCTTCAAGCTTGATGCTTACATTACATGGCTGGTGAAGGATATTCTTACAAGCCAAAATTCGATTTTTTTTTTTTTTTTTTTTTTGATGATGGTAAGTTAACATTGAATTTCATAGGTGCCAACGCTGATTTGACACTCAATATGAAATTTAAATTTCTCACAAACACACACACTAAATTGTCGTAAGGTATATTTATAATAATGAAAATATTATTGGGGGGGGGGGGGGTTAAAGGTGTTATGCCCTATAGAATACACCACACTTTCATTTTATATTAAATACTGTAAATGTGGTTATAACGGGGGGTGGAAGGGGGAATAATTACATATTTCCGATAAAAATTGTGCATTAGTGTCGTAAGCATTTCTGTGACTCTTAGATCTAGAATATTTTAAGTGACTACATGTATGCATGATAGTTTTTCACATGATTTTGAGTTTAAAGCATAACTAGACTCAGTCTGTTTATTTTCATCACATGTAATTAAAAAATAATAAAAACAAAAAACTCCCCCAGTTTTTCAGTATTCTTTATTTTTCAGATATTGCTATATATTTCATTTACCTTTTATCCATAGCAAATTAAAAGCATATTTATATTATCATTTTTTTAAACAATATCCTTATTTACTGGCATTTGCTGTATCACCTGAGTTGTTATTATTGTTAGTATGGTAGAGGATGGTGTAGTTTTATTCACAACATAATTCTAGTTTTCATTTCAAAAGATACTTGTATAGAATATCAAAAAATAAAATTAAAACTCCTTTTATAATCAGGTCAGATTTGATCTGAAGAAAACTTGATTTGTTGTTTTACTGTCAGTATTTATGTATAAAAATTCACAGTTTTAAGAGAAAGTGACTACCTCCTCCTGACCAGATTTTATTTTCTATAAATGCATCTGTGTAATTCTTATATCTACTCTGTTTAAACTTTTTATATTGTTTACCTTTGGTGTAGGTGCATGTCTTTATTTTTGATCCATTCAAACTTTAAAATCTTAAACATGGTGGATTGTAAAAAAAAAAAAAAAACTGAGAGAAGTTCTGAGGGTTGCAGATATTACAGTAAAAAATGCCTCAAATTAATATAAGGTCAATATCACTAACTCACTTTAGCTTATTCTTTGTATTCAACATATTGACTCTTGAGATTCAGCTGTAATTGTGAGGCCTACAGATCCAAACTTGCATAGATAATTCATTAATGAAAGGATATAAGTAGTCTTGTTTTGGACAGAGACTTTGGTGTAAGAGCATTTGATCGAGTTCCAAGTGCTTAGAAATTTTACATTCTTAAGTGTTCGCCCTCGTGGCGCAGTGGTTAGAGCATCTGATCTAGAGTCAAGGAGTAAGAACCTGGTCCTTACGTTGCGGGTTTGAATCCACTGCGGTATGTGGAGACCGGTCCATCGGATGAGACCATATAAACCGAGGTCCTGTAGGTCGCAGTAGGTGTTAGCATGAAAAGATTCCTCACTGCTCAATGGCCTTGAGTGCCGAGTATAGGTATAAATTTGCAGCCCTCCACCAACAAGTGGTGGTGTCTCCATATGAGTGAAAAATTCTCAAGAGGGACGTTAAACAACAAACAAACAAACTAAACAAAAAACATTCGAAATTAAATTGATGTTTGCAACATTGTGTGTGTCCAAAAAAAAAAAATTCTGAAGGAAATTTTTTCCCCCAAAGTATATTTGAATAAGAATGAATTAAAGATGGCAATGTATGTATGACAGATTCTTAAAATATGTAAATTTATGACCCATTTTTATGATGAGGAAATGCTACATGTACCATGAGTTTTTATTCCAGAAGCCAGACAATCTTTGATGTTTATAATGAACTTAATCTGTTAATGCAATAAGTTAATTTAAAAGTTGTCTTGCATGTGAAGCATGTACATTTTCAAAGAGAGCTGTGTTGTTTTTGATTTCAGTGTGTATTTTTGTTTGAATTAGTTCTCACAACTAGAGTAATTTTGTGTTTTAGGATTGACAAAGCCTGCCATAGCTAAGGTTTGCAAGTTTCTCAAGTAGTTACACTCTAGAAGAAATCACACTCTTTTTCACTGTAGAACAATTTATTGAGACATGTTTTTGCCAAACCCGAATTTGCAAATTTATGCCTACAGTAAAATAATATATTTTAACCCAGTAGTTGGAAATTATAAGTAAATGATTAACTGAATATGATGAATTACAAATCTAACATGGCATTTTATGCTGTCCAAATGCACTTTACATGGGTTTTACTATTTCTATACACTGAAATATTTCTATATGCAATGGAAAATTTGATTACATATTCAAATCATATCATCAATCATCGATTATTCTTCATACTTAGCATTATAATGAGTCGTAACTTATGTCTGTAGATCATCTAACTAAAGATTATTATTTGTGAAATACAGTTAGTAAAGATAGTGTTTTTTTTTATCTTCTGTCTGCTGTGAACTGTGACTTAATGAGTTGTACACTAACCAAGATACATTTTCTAGTTTCTTTTTCAATATAACTAATGTATTTATCTTCTACCCTTTTTTACACTTCACTTTGTAGTTTAGTCTTTGTCAAAATTTGTATGCTTCTCTAACATCTTAATCTCACACTCATCATACACAAAATTCTATAATAGTGACTACTGTTTTTGAAATGGGAGCTCTAATGAAAACAAGACAGCACTAGGCTTTCTTTTGTGGAGCGTTGATGGTTGGTAGGGATTTGATTGGGATTGTTTTTAAGTGATTTACGTACATGTATTCCTTTATTACATATACACGTTTGAACTAAGCTCATGTAAACACTTTCGTATTGTTTGGTTTGTAGATAAAAAGTCAATGTAAAAATATTACATATTCATATTATCGAATAAAATTTAGAGGATTGCATCTTTAATATTTGCTGTACTTTTATTACAGGACAAATACAGTGGTTGACAAAAGCTTTATATCTAAACTTATTTAATAACTGAACTAATGGTGGAGGCAGGGATTTTATACCAAACATTCAAATTGGTGAAGACCCTTGAAGAAAATTATTTCAACTTCGGTGACTTGATTGGAGTCTAGTCGGTCTACAGCAGGCAGATTGCCACCTATTGGAAAGACATTTATTTTTATTTTTTATTTTCACTTCATTGATATTACATGTATGTGTATATATATCTATGATTCATTCATTTAAAAGACATCAGTTTCACCTGGACTTTTTGTACATGTGTGCTAATAGTGTAAAACAGCAATTTGTTTAATGTGTAAAATGAATGATTCATAGATAAGAAAATGAGAGAAATATTAAGTCACATCTTCCTGTATTTATGGCCAGGCTAAGTATTTTTGGTTCAGGAGTAATTGATTATTTATTCACTCCACATTATTTTTGTTTCCCACAAGATACTGGTACCATGATAAACATCTGAGTCAGAGTACATGTTTGTATATCTATTTAAGTACATTCTATCATGATTAAAAGCTGAAAATGGATTAGTTATTGAGAAAACAAAGAGAAAATGTACAGTTACATTATTTTATTTTTGTTCTGTATCATTTAAATTCATTGTATTTGAGTGGCAGGAATTATTTAAAATGTAAATCACTCTATCAAAGCCCTCCCCATTTTAAATATGGTACATGTAGAAGACTTTTTCATTAATGTTATTATTTTTGTTTTCTTTCCAAATTTACATCTTCCCTACCCTGTTCTACTGAATTCAATATGTGCATTATGTCTGTGCAAAAATGTTTAGAAATATTTAATATTTGTCAAAAAATCTTGATTGAAAAGGAGCTTTTTATAAAAAAAAAAAAATACATTCCTAATACTAATATCGTTTCTTTAAAAAAAAAAATCAGTTCTGATATTGTAAAATGTAGCAATGTGAGAAATTCATATTTATTATTTAATATACTAGGAAAAGATTGGTCATTGCCTTTGTACATAATTTAAAAACAGAATTTAATTATTTATGTATTAAATGTACATGTACCTGTTTTCTCTAATGAAATTTGATTCTTTGTCATGCATATTTAAAAAAAATTGTATGATTATGAATTTTGGAAAAACAAAATTTAAATATTTGAAGTAAATGGTAGAAATATTTTACAGTGTTACATTATACTTGAATATTACTGAAATTATTTGTGAACAAAAATCTTTATTCAGCACATCTACAGTGTCAAAAAGTACATTGATGTGCTTGTTCAATAGATTTAACTTAATCCTGGAGAAAATGCATTGTCGGCAAAGAACGAGGGCATATTAGATTGGCATTCGGCAGGAATATGGGCGCACTTGAAAAGTGAAAATTTCATTGACCTAACACATGAAATTTAACCATTCTTTTGATGTATGGGGTTCCTGTGAAATGGGAAATAGAAACATTTTCCCAATATAACGTTTTGATTTGCTAAAAAATGACTTGAAAATTGGCTCGATAAGTCATTTGGTACAAAATGTTGCATTTTTAAACAAGTTTTTCTAATAATTTGCTATATCTTGGTTATCTCTCTGAAACATTATTTGCATGCATTTTAATTGAAAGAAACGAGCAAATATTTGTAAAAAAAAAAAAAAAAAAAAATGGAGAGAAGACCCAGAGACCATAAAAAATGAAGTTTTTCCAAAAAAAAAAAAAATCTCATTGTGTAAATGCGGCCGGTGCTTCATTGTCGTTTTCATATCGACATGTAGTATGTAGCGATGATAGCTAAGTAGTCCAGTGCACAGGAATTGGAAAGTTTTCGGTTCGATCTTCGCATGGGGCTTTTTTTTTTTTTTTTTTTTTTTTTTTTTTTTTGCAAATAGTCAATTCTTTTGTCAGTTAAATTTTATGTACTCATTAAGTAAATTTTAAATTGGATAAATTATAGTTCAGTTGCACTGAGAGCGAAAACAATTCTTCCCATGGGCGGATACAGGATTTGTGATTGGGGGGGGGGGGGGCGTGGATAACTTCGTTCAGGCAGGGGGTCTGGGTGCCGCCTTTAGGCCCCAAGTGGGTCCAGATCCTGGGTTTTCGTGTATTTTAAGAGTAAAACCAGGCACAATAATAGGGGTATTGGTTAGTTTATGTGTACCAAAGTTTGGCATTATTAATACTAGTCATATCATACTTTGAATAGAGGGGGTCCAGGGGGCGAAGCCCCCCGAAGCTCCTGGGTTTTTGTGTATTTTAAGAGTAAAACCAGGCACAATAATAGGGGTATTGGTTAGTTTATATTCACCAAAGTTTGGCATTATTAATACTAGTCATATCATACTTTGAATAGAGGGGGCCCAGGGGGCGAAGCCCCCGGAAGCTCCTGGGTTTTCGTGTATTTTAAGAGTAAAACCAGGCACAAAAATAGCGGTATTGGTTTGTTATATACCAAAGTATGGCATTATTGATATTAGTCGTATCATACTTTGAAAATTTTAGGGGGGGGGGCGTGCGCCCCCCACGCCCCCCCCCCTTAAATCCGCCAGTGCTTCCATCCTACTGAATTTTTGATATACACTTGTAATTTCATTTAACTATGCCCTATTATCTTAAAGGTTTTAATATTAAGTGAATTAAGTGTTACTATGTTATCGTAACTATTAAGATTATCGGACTTAAATATTACAATATGACAAGGTATTTCAAACTAAATGCAACATTTTCCTATGTCTGTATGTGCGTAACTTTGTGAAGTCTGTCCAGCTGTGGTCAGGCAGCCGACCACGATTTAATTAAACTGTAAATGTTTCGTACACATGATTTCTACAGATCACACACACCAAATACGTCCATCTTCTTTACCTGAAGTGAGAGAATGAGGTTACGACTTTGTGTCCCTGTATTATATTGATATAATAACGGAATAAATGTTTTGGAGATGAGAAAATTAAAAAAAAAAAAAAAGATGTGCATATTGTTATTTTTGTGTACATGATACTTTTATCATTCTGCTAGTTACATATAAGATAAGCAACAACCGCAAGATGTTCAGGAAAAAGTTATTTATTAATCTATACCTATTGTTTTTATAGTCTTTTAACAGATTATTCATACAGTGTATTTAAAGTTCAGCAACTAACCTTCATATGAAAATTATGAAATCTTTTAAAATTTTAGGAAAGGGGGAGGGGGGGGGGTAATTGAAATGCATGTAGCTTCAAAATGAATCTGATAACTGTACGTCATATATTTTAAACATAAATGTAAGTCACTTACACTTGACCTATGGAGAGAACGATTATAGGTATTATGCCTGCTGTTCAATCCGTTTCATTTGTAATGAATAAATATATTTTAAACTAAGTCACATATAATAATTAGTACAAAATATAATAGTTATAGGAAAATTCATTTTTTTTTGTCAAGACGTTGAAATCTGCTCTTAAGGTGAAATATTACTGCAAATTTACAATGAATATTTCGAAAAGCAAATGTGGCATTACTATATCTACAAATAGTTTCCGACACAAATTTTATTTTGAATGAATATAAAGCATATTATTTAATATCTGTTGGAAATTACTTATTTTGTTTCAATTTTGATACCTGTATGGCATACTTAAAATTTTAACCCATAAATATTAAAATATTGAAAAACGATGGCTACCATGGCAACCGTATCATCCTTATAACCCTGATGATCATGGTTGATATAATTTGATATTTTCATAATATATGATACCATTAACGTAAAGCAAGTTAATTATAGGTAAAAATGAGAAAAATTCATAGTGCGGATTTTTTTTCACGGACCCTTGCAATCACTTCCTTAACGAGGTTGGATCCTGATATTTAAAGTCTTAAACTTTTTTTGTAAAGTATATTTTATGTTTCTACACACATAGCTTAGTTAAAAATCAAAACAAAAAATAGGGGTCAATATGCTTCTTTTGGCGCTACAGTACATTTAATATGACCTTTTTGCACTGAAATTTGTGTCTTAATCAAAAATCACATCTTCGACGTTTTCCCTCCAAAGTTTTCATCCAAATAAATCATGGGACAAAATAAACTATTAGTTCATTTAAAAAGAGACACATTAAAGTTGTGACTAAGAAAAAGTTACAAATTGCGTTGCATAATCAATTATTTGACCTTTCTGCACTCACAAAATGTGATTTTTCTGGCATTAAAAATTTAACCAGCAAGAAAATTATTTTAAAGTCTTAAACTTTTGCTGAATTTAAGTAGATTAATCAAAGTTATCTTATATATTCAGAAAAGAAAAACAAAAGTGGGGGTCTATGATCTAAATTTTTAGATATTACTAAAAAAGTGTTAATTTTATGATAAAATTGGCTCAATTTTTTCCTAGAATTTCAGAATATATTTACTATATTTGTCACAATATAATGAAAGAATTTATAAGAAATAATTTAATAGATATTTCAGAACCAGCATAAAACATTTCACTGCAAAAAACATCTCTGTTTGCAACCAGCATGGAAAAATAGGAATCTAAACTTAACAGTACTGTATATATTTCAAAAGGGAAAAAATGATCAATTTCTTCTAAAAAAGCTTCCGCCACAAAATATAGTTCCTGGCTTAATCCTATTTGAATGGAATTTAATCGCGGTTTTTTAATTGGATATAGTTTAATTTGCAGAGTAGAATCCAGATTTAATGTTAGAACTTAAAAATGATGCAGAATTTTAGAAATAAAGATCCAGGCCAAAATCTGCTCAAAAGCTCAGGATCGAACCTCCTTTAATTAAGGCACTTTCTGTGACCAAGTCTAAAATTAGTGGTCATGCGGTTTGAAAAAGGTGAGTATGCTTATTTGCGACGTTTGCTGTACGTTCCATACCTCTTTTCTTTTTATAATATATCTTTTATAAATTATCATGATTTTAAATGTTACAACAATTTTTTTAGGGGGGCGGGATCAACCAGCCTTTTGATGAATATTTTCAATGGTAAAAGGTTTTGTTTGAAAAAAAAGTGGAGGATAGGTAACCCCCCTCCCTCCCCCGATTCTACGTCAGTACATGTACGTGCCTGTTTCCAGTTTAGCTTGATTTTGAATGAGTAAATGTAAATTTTGCAACTTGATTTTGTTGATAACAAAATGTCGAGGTTTTATGTTGGAGGAAAAATGATTTAAAACAAAACGAAAGTAGATGTAGCATGTGTATATCTATTCCCATTTTTGACCTTTACAGGGTAACGTTAGACCCTATATATAGAACAGGTTTTTCCAAAGATATAGTGATAAGCACATCATGGAGTTTGGATGAGAAGTTCATAACAGAGAAATGGTAAGATATAAATTTTAAAGTAGATTTGATAATGTAAGTATATTATATAATTATCGGGGGTTATGTAGTAAGAATTTATGAAAAGTAAATAACCATATAGGTTACGGGTCAAAGGTTTCGCATGTTGGAATTTATTTCCTTGTTCTAGGTATAAACAGCAGACCTCACAACGCCATGTAAAACGATTTTGAACTCTTTTTTCTGTGTCAAATTGAAAAGGTGTCTTGATTTCATTAGCACTAGCAACATAACTCATATAATTTAGGCTTTGATAACTAGCTTTTGTTTCTGATGGGCAGGTTGGGTGTCGTTTTGCCTGGGCTTCTCATTTATCATTTGGCATTATCCTTTCAGATCGTTCAGATCTACAATATTAGATTCTACTTCCGGTGTATTATGACCAAAATGGATTAATGGACGTCTCATAATGAATCCACGAGATCCCTGTCCTCCCGCACGACTCGTCTCCCCTGCCACAGTATCAGTCAGTGCAGGAAGTCAGCAAGGTATGAACATAGGTCTCTGTTTTACATAGACTTATATTTCGATGGGATATCTGATTGCATTATAC